TCCAAGGCTTCATCGTCAAGCACTTTCAAACTAATGTATTTATCACCTTGCCACACTCTTGTCGTGATCTCAGTGATACATTGGTTGTCTTGAAGACTTAACTTCTACTGAATTCTCTGATGCAGTTCGCCAATGGTTGTGTTGCGTTGGATACGTGTCGGCCTTTTTTCACCTTCGAATATGACACCTCGTCGACCTTCTACCTTCCTACCATTGTAATATAACACAACACGAACAGAATCAGGATTTGAGCTCATTTTTAAATAGAATTACAACTAAAATTCAAATACTAAATTAAATATAAAGGAATGTTGGTGGAGAAGAGAGATATGAAGAGTGAGAGAAGAGGTGTGAATTGAATGGAGGGGGTGAGGAAATATATAGAGCACACATGTGACGCCCAAAACTGGCGTCACATTGTGCAGTAGATGTGTAATTTTTTACGAAACAACATTAAATGCGTAATTATTTAATTTAAATACATTATTTTAATTTTTTTGCCCAGATTTCTCAAATAAACTAAACTAAAATATACCGGTTAAATTGTTTTAAGGTTTGTTTTTTCTAAAGTTACTTTAGATAACTTTATCTAATGTTCATCGAAACGACGTCGTTTTGGGGCGGAAATCAAGGTGTTTTTGTAATTTTAATTTATTTCATGATTATAATAGTCTTTATCATTCTAATTTTTTTATTTTTCAACTCCAAAACGACGTCGTTTCAATGAAATTAGACATAGTTATCCAAAGTAACATTAGATACTTTTTTTCCATTGTTTTATATGTCCTTATAATTATGTTAAAGATTTTAATATTTTTATAGTTTACTTTTCTTTTAACAATGTCCTTATATATTTTAAAAAATTTAAATTGGTTCTATGTGAGTGATGACTATTTAGATTCAGTTAAGTAATGTTTATTACCTGCATGCCATTTGCAAGTTTCGAAGATTTAATTATAAAATTTTAAAATTAGTAGTCATTTAATTGAAAATTAGCAGTCACTTAATTGAAAATATATTTTAATAAATGAATAAAATATTATATCTATCTTTTTTCATGACTGTTCTACCAAATTCTTTCTAATATCGTTGAATTAGAGTCTCAACCAAGGTTGTCAAACTCGCGATTTTACGTAAAATCGTGAGGGGATAGTAAAATCGTAAATCGTAAAATCGCCACGAATCGTAAGTTTTTACTTTTAAAAATATATAATAAATATAATAATATCCAACTAACATTATAAATAAAAAGACACAAGCTCATAACAAAAAATTTAGAGACTAAGTGCATAGAGTACAAAGTTCATCAAATTCTCAAAGTTAGCATCGTCGTCGTCATCTCCCACGACAACTTGTACTTGTTCTTCAACCATTTCTTCTATTTCCAAGTTTACAACCATGTTTCTCCACTTTGGATTCCCACCATGTTTTCTTCAATTTGAGTTTCTAAATCCAAGTTTTCCTCTTGGGCCAAATCGATTTTTTGTCCAAATTTTTTTTTTTTGCCATCACTGCCCATGAAGCGCTAACTCGTCCCAAATCGTACGAGTTTGCGATTTTGCACAGTAAAATCGCGATTTTAACGAGTTTACTCAGAATTTCGATTTTACTACCGATTTAACTCGCCAAACAAAGTAAACTCGTAAAATCGTACGATTTTACGAGTTAACTCGCGATTTTGATAACCATGGTCTCAACTGACATTCACCTTTTCTCTTTTCTTTTGAGATTTTAATATAATGGTGTTAATGAGTAGATAGAGTATGCATGAAAAAATATAGGTATAATATCATACCCCTTAAATCAAATATCAATTTGTTTAAAATTTGTAAAACTATAGGAATCTCCTTAAAAAAATAAACTATATATTTAGGGATAGGATCAACTTACACCGGTGTAAAAATAATAAGTTTTACATCAAATCTTAACCGTTGATTTTTCATTAATCTAATGATTGTAATTTATTGAGAATCAGTAATTAATTAATAAGTGATTTAATAAATTATAATCGTTAGATTGATAGAAAAAATAGTTAAAATATACTGTAAGCAGTGTTTTAAAACTCGGACTGGTCATCGAACCGGTCGAGGTATTGGGTCACTGGGTCACTGGTTCAACCAGGTTCAACCGGGTTGAACCAGATTTACTGTTCACATGTTAAAAATATAAAAATATTACTTATATTAATAAAAATTCACATAAGAAAACTATCAATGAGCTTCAAAAAATAAATTAATTTTCAATGATAGCAAATATTATATACTTCTAAGCTTCTAGCTCTAGATCATATCCTAATATTGGATTAAAATTGCAATATAAGTTAAATGCACCTTTTGTGGTTGACATGATACGGATAAATTAAATCATGATAATAAATAATATGCATGAAATATACACTAAGAAAAAAGTGTCACTGTTATCATGATAACAAATAGTATGCATGAAATATACACTAAGAAAAAAGTGTCCACCGTTGAGATGAGATCATGAGACCATCAATGTTTATCACCACTTAACTTCATAAGATCATTATAAGATGCAACTAAATTACATAAACGAACTGCGCTAATCTAAAATACCTTATTATTTTCACCTTACTTTTAATCATATTCATCATAAAATATGAATATGATTTAATTCAAGAGTTCTTATTAACAAAAAAAATTTTTACCAAAAAAAGAAGAAGGAATAACCGGTCTAGCCCGGGTCGCCGGGTTTCGGCCGGGTCAACCGATTCAATCTGGGTTGACTGCAGAAGTGGTCCAACTACCCGCTTGGACCGGAGAACCCACCAGGTCACCGAGTCCCAGGTCGACCCGGCCGGTCCGAGCCGGATTTTAAAACACTGACTGTAAGACTTATTATTATTTTATTTTTTTGATAACATAAGACTTATTATTTTTACGTTGATAAGGACTAGATCATTTGACACTTCGTGTGAGAATCATTGATCTTACTTGATTTAACGACTCTGATTTATAAGCATATAACACCGTTGATCTACCTTGATCCAACAACCATCAGATGAGGTGTTAAATTTTTATTTTGACACTGATGTCAAATGATTCTACTCCATATATATATATATATAATCAAACTCTAAGCACCTACAAATTAATTTAACCAAATATATTGTATGTCCTTAAACTATAACCCTTCCTTAATTTGTCCTTATAAAGTTTCAATTTGAATAAGCATCAATTTCAATTCCCAAAAATTCAAGTGGAATTAGTTTTGTCTTTCAAGGGAAATATATCATAATAATTGTCTATCATGAAAATAATATAGTATTAAATTGAAATTACTTTTTATAGTTGATAACATTTATCATTAATGTAAATTTAAAAAAAAATCAAATTGATACAGAATAAATTAATGGAAAAAATATTTGTCCTTTTAAAGGACATATAATTATGTCATTTTAAGTGAGAGAAAGACACAACTTAATATTTTTTTAATTAAAAAAACACTTTCTCTCACATGATTTTCAGTGATTGTGTCTTTCTCTCACTTAAAATGACATAATTATTGTTATCAAAAAAAAAAAAAATGACATAATTATAGATCCTTTAAAAAAACAAACACTAAACTCTAAATTAATATTAGAGTAAAATTTCTTTTAGGTCCCTAACAAAATATACGGTCCCCATTTTCGTCCCTTACAAATAAATAATCAACTTAGTGCCTCTAAAATTCCAATTTTTCAAAAATGTGATCCCTCAAAAATTCAATGAAGACCCAATTTAGTCCATAAAAAGGATTAATATGGGTATTTTTTATAGAGGACGAAAATGAAAACCGTATTTTTTGTTAGGGATCCAAAAGGAGTTTTACTCTTAACATTAACTTTCTTTTAACAGAAAAATATTTCCACAGTTAATGCAGATAAGTTATCTGCATTTACTTCTAAAACGACGTCGTTCTGGAATTAAAAGATTAAAAAATTATATTTATAAAGACTACAATAACCCTGAAATAAATTAAAATACAAAAACACCATGATTTCCGTCCCAAAACGACGTCGTATCGAGCTTACTGCAGATAACTTATCTGCAGTAACTGCAAAAAAAGCGAACCCTTCTTTTAATAACTAAATCAATATCGTCCGTTTATTTCGAAAACTAAAACAAGTGTTGTTTTATTTTGTTTTTTTTCATAAAAGTATTTCTGCAGTTACTGCAGATAAGTTATCTGCATTTACTTTCAAAATGACGTCGTTTTGAAATTAAAACATTAAAAAATTATAATTATAAAGACTATAATAACCCTGAAATAAATTAAAATTATAAAAACACTATGATTTCTACTCAAAACGACGTCGTATTGGACTTACTGCAGATAAAACAAACCCTTTGTTTTTATCACTTAACCTCTTCCATATTTGAGGTTAACGCAAAAAATATTTTATTTTTTTTGGGTTAAATAAACATAACATATAGAATACATGTTTACAATTAAAATGCCGAAGCTCTTCATAATCAATAATTTACTCGAAGATTTGTTTATTTTTTTGTGTCACTCCAACTCCTTTGAAGTTTACTGCCAAAAAGTAAACTTCCATTTGATTTCCGAAGGGGTAACTTTTTTACTTAAAACTAAATTATGAATGATGGTTAATGTTGACACACACATTAAACATACTGCGTTATGTTTACGTGTGATGACAGAAAGAATATAAAGTGTTCAAAATTATAATAATTACAAATTATACGTGTGTATGACAAAACTTGCTCTTAAATTATATAGGATTAAAAGTGATAAAAAAAATTCAAATATATGTTGAGAAATGACTATAGATGAAATGAATTTTTATTCTCAATTTTTTTTATAAATAAATATCCACCGCCATGTTTATGTTCGCAAATAATTTTAGAATCAATCCAATTTTTCACGCTTGGCCCAAGCGTCCATTAAACTCGTTCCCCCTTCTCATAATTCTATATTGTACGAGGTTACATTACGTTCCCTTCTCAGAATTAATATAATTTACCAAACATATTCTATTTAAAAATAGACTACACAGCGATAAAAAGAAAAAAAACAATGGCATGCAAGCATGATCTTATGCCCTGTATAGACGTTCCAAGGCCCCTTGTGGTCCACTATCTCTCCTGAAGTAAAATGCCTTGGTTACAGCATCCGTTTGCACACAATTAAAATAGAGAGGCCCCCAGCGTCCCATTTGTATTTACATTTTACGTATAAGAAATCATGACCAATATACAGTATATAAATATTCAAACAATTATAAAGTATAATACGACAATATTTATACATTGGTCGTTAAAGGAGCGTACTATGGGAATTATGCACTGAAACCTCTGTGCAGAGAACTCCAGGAACTGGCCGGAATACTGACGCACGCTTGTGCTGAGGCTTCAGCCATTTGCTCTTTCCGTATTCCTGCGTTGCAGAAGTTTGCAAAGGACCTCATGTGTTTCATGCCATACTGAGAGAGTGATCCACAATGTGTCTCAAAAGTCCTAACCTGCATCAACAATAGATTAAAGCCAACATACGCTCAGCAATCGAAGTCAACAGAAAGAAGCTTAACAGTAATCAAGAAGTGAATGCTAATTCCTTGTTCAAGTTCAATATTATTTGTTGGAAGACCAAATAGTTGGAGGCCATGCTGACATCTCATACTGTAAATATGTGTACTAGACAATTAATGACAAACAGAAAAGCAATGATTCAATTGTATTTTTTCAGCATCAGAGAACAAACTCAACAAAGCGAATCATGGGAAACGATACCAGTGTTTTCAGGCAGTCCCAGTCATCAACAAGTGGTTGTCCAGCAGGTCTAACACTGCTGAGCACTTCTGAACCCTTTTCAATGCCAAATAAGAGCTTCCCAATAAGTTTCATACTGTTGTCTATATGCATTCTGTGAGACATTGCTTCCAGAACTTCTTTCTCAGCTGCAGCTTTCCTAGTAGAACCCTCAGGAGCTTTGCGGAACTGGCAAAGAAGAATGAAGAGGAAGTCAAGATTGTAGAATAAAATACAGAAAAATAAAGGCCTACAGAGGAAAATAAGTGTCAGCATATAACAGCCCTTATTTTCTTGTAGTTTTAGCATTACAGCAATGCCAATTTCCAACATTTCAAGAAAAAAATTACTGGCCACTCATTAATGTTTCCACAAAAGGCATGGGATTCACAGTCTTTCCAGATTTATCCAATTTGTTTTACTACTAATTTTTTGAGATTTTATATCTAGCTAGTTAAAGTTCCGCATCCAAATAGCTAAAACACCTGGTTAGTGAAATCCAATAGATCTACAACGATGGTACATTTGACATAAGAAATGGTCGATTCCATGGCATGGGCTAAAACAGAATAGCCATTCTCAGCTTAAAGCTTGGTAGCTTCAAGACTGGGATGGCATGCAATTGTTTGGTACACGGAAAGAATGTTGAAGGGAATCAACGGGAATCTTCATTCCCTGAAATGGAGAATCACCATTCATGTGTCAAACATGATGCTAGATTTAAATCCTCAAATACCAAACGGTGAATAGTATGGCATGTTCCCATTATCACATATCCTCATTGGTTGTTACTAATTTCTGCAATTTTGTTGATTTTCACTACTGATATTGTGGTTCTCTTTAATAAGAAATATCTTCCAACTACGAATATACCGTTCCAATTTTAAAATTTGGGAGCATAATCATGACGAGGAAATGACTAACCAATTGTTTCATAAACTAAAGTAAAACCATATTTCACACATATGATACCTTATCCCAGAAATGGATGAGATCTGCATCGCGTTGGTTGACTACTTTTGAAGGTGGCCTCAGTGAGTTTTTGTCCACAAAAGTAAAATTATCATTAGCAGGATTTGTACCCAAATATAGGAAGAGATTGTTCTTGCTAAGCCCTATGTCACCATATTGCATCACGTGGGAACCATATAATGAATTTCCGTTGAAAGTCCTTTCTTTAACCTGTGAGCATCAGAGTCAGAAGACATCTGTCACACAATTCATACACATCTTCTACCTTGTTTGACCCGTAAAATTTTAGACCGAGAAGTCTATCAAAACAGACAAAATTTTCTTCCATGTACTTAAGCAACCAAGGTATCAAATAACATTCTTCGTTTTGTATCAGTTGACTATGTAAAACAACCGAGTTAGCAACAGGAACTTACCAATTCGTATTGTTGGTGCAAAGTTTCTGTTCGCAAATTGTGCATGTCACTGTTAAAGAGTTTAGACAAAAAAACATAATTCAGTCTATTTCTAAGGAAAAAAAACTTTCTTCTAACAAAAAAAAAGACTGTTAAAGATATTTCTTTAAAAAAAAGGGTTCGGCAAAGTACAAAATAGTAGGTAAATACAATTCTCGTAGTGATATGCTCACATCACAGCAGTCACAGTCTTTGAATGACTTCATGAAGGATAAGTAATTCACCCAAAATATCTTATTTATGACCCCCGGTAATTTTATTAATCATTAATTATTTTAGGCAACATATAATACCAGGTAACATGTTTCCTTATTACGTTCAAATGGGCATACCTGTCTTCCATCCAAGCAACACTGTACAGGTCACCCAGGCAAGTTTCATATTCTGGAGGAGGACTAGGATACTCCCCAGGGCAATACGTTCCCCAACTGCTTTCTTCTGCATTTGCAGCTGTTGTTGCATAAATATTCAGACCTTCAGGAAGAAGACCTTCAAAGATACTCCCAGATTCACATGCCTCTAGATAAAATACCTGCGCCACCATTATATAAATCCTAAGAATCAGTAAATAGCTCCAAAGCAGATTTATGCAAACAGTGAGCAAATTCTAATTACTAGTAACTTACTAGGCTTTTATACGTTCCAGAAGCATGCTTCTTCTTCAAGACTTCAATCAGATCAGATGCATACAAATAAGGACTAGTAGGCATCCCTGAAATCCAATCCCAGTCCCCCCAAAAATAGATTACATAAGAAATAGAAAAGGGAAGCTATTATAGGTGGTAAAGAAACACTTTATTGTGCAAAGATCAAAACAAAATGTTAATAGAAGAATCATTAAAAAAATAGTAAATAGTAATGATCACCAAAATGATCATGACTAACTGGATAGAAAGGACACTGACGCCGAAGACTATATACTTATCTCTCTCTCTTGTTCTTTTTGTTTTCCTTTTCCTCTGTTTTTATTTTTTTCCCTCTGGTTTTATTAATTACCCTTTGTGTTAACCACATCAGGAAAAAGAAATAAAAAATAAATTAACAGAAAGCAGACTTCAATCAGTTACATTTTGCATGCTATTGTTAAAATAAAAAGGTTGCATCAGACATGATCAATGTACAGTATAACTATTTGTAGAATAGATGCTTAGGTCATAAGACAACATACCACGAAATCAACCCATAAATATGTTACACTTTTCAGCTATGCTTCACAATACTAAGCTCCCCATTTCCCCCATTAAATAACAATCCAAATTAAGTTGTCAGGAATATCTTAGAGATCCAAAAATCTCCCGAAAATGGTATAAAATTTGAAAAATTTCCTTCTTAAACCATCATCCTAACCACCATTTATCAATTTCAAAGTTTTCAGTTTATTTTGGTTATCTAGACAACTAAAGAAAGTTTTAGCTTGGAAAGTGTCCAGAAGTTCCAGTTTGAGGAAATTATACTATAGGTGCCGCTAAAATGTTAAAAGAGATTTATTCTACTCAAACATAATCAAGCAAAAATACACATAATCAACCCACTCAAAAAAATAAAAATAAAAGTAAGAATAAAAACCCTACATGAAAGACACATTTGCAAGTAACAATTTCTAATATGAGAAGGCTTATACATAAACAACATATCCAATTCATGATTTTCATTAGAAAGTTACTTAGAAAGGATTCAGAGCTACTAACCAAGAACCCCAGGACCTCCATGATCAGAGTAGTATATAAATATATGATCATTGGGACCACTATCCACAACCTTCCCACTGCCACCTGTAAGAGATGACTTATTTCCAAGTATAGCAGCCAAAAAGTTGTTCACAGTAACATCTTCACCAACGTAATCCTTCCATAACAAAGTCCATATTAGGAATACTATAAATCCAGAACTGAAAGCAGAAAGATATGGGATACCAAAAAGTAAAATCACAGACCTTAGGGACTCCTTTGTAAACATCATTACCATGGGGGCTATTAATGATGATCCCAGACCGTGGGTTCTCTTCATTGAATGCAATGTCATCATACATAAAAACAATAATATTTTCTTCTTTCAGACCACCCTTCCTTAGTAGTTGATACGCATGACAAACATCAGACTGATAAAATCACCAAGGCTCATCAGTCATCGTTAAAATTAACCAAGTAATACATATAATCAATTGTTCCAGACTTTTCTTATGGTTCATATTCTGTAGAGCTTTATTCCATGTAATATAAGTACAAGGACTCGTTTAAAATATCAAAATCCAAGGTTCACAAGTCAAAACCAACAGTTTACCTTCAAATTCCAGTGGCTATAAAACTAATCTAATGAGAGAAGAATCTGAGGTGAGGAGTATTACCTGATGCCTGTAATTCCAGTAGCCATTGGAACCCGCAATTAAAATGGCCCACCTCGTCCCCTCGTTGTTGTCGTCGGAAGAAGGAGCTTGGAAGAACCTGGAAGCTTCGGAGGGCAATCGGAGAACATCTCCGGTAGGGTCTCGGCCACCGGAGACGAGTGCGATGACGGTGGCGATGAGAAAGAGGACGACGGTGGGCATCGGAAAGCGGTCCATTGGCGTGGAAGTGAAGGTTGGCATTATTGATAGGGCACCATCCCTTATAAAACTAAAAATAACATTATTTGGAAGGACACGTGTACTTCTTACTTTCGGTGACACCTTACATTTGCAATTGGGAAGTCTCTCTCGTGGTGGGAGTTGGGACCCTATTGCCCTCTCTTTTCTCCCATTTACCCTTTTAAGAGGGAAAGTTCCTTAAATATTTATTTTTTCTTCAAGACAATTTTGACTATTTAATGTTATCACTTTGTTATTTAAGTTTTCTTGCCCATTTGGTTATTTATTATTGGGGCCACAAGTTATGGTGTCTTTATAATTGGAAAATATTTAATATGTTCTAGGATCATTTAATTATTTGGTGCTTTCTCTCACAATATTAATTTTTTTTCTCCTTTTACTCTTGTTATTTTTTTTTTTCCAATTTTACCCTTTTAGTTACACTAAGGGACCACCTAAAAAAATAGTGGTCCCGGACCACAATAAATTCTCTCTTATAAAAGATAGTGATATCTCATAATATTAAAATACTAAATATTAAATTATACGGATATGTTATATTTATCGTTATTTTTCTTATTATATTTTACCATCAATTTTATTATCGTTGGATTAAAATTTAATAATGATTCTCATATAATATTATTTTATAACTGTTAATGTGATTTTGGTATACGATAATAAAATTGATACTAAGAAAATTGTAAAAATAAACTCCTCAAATTATATCAGATAAAAGATTTTTCTTATTCAATTATCAATTCAATGCCATAAAAGTTCTTCCTTTTTAATTTTTTTTCCATCTATTCTCTCTTTCTGTTTGTTTGACTTTGTTTTGAGTTTGTATTGTATATCTGTCGTATTGTTTTTCTTATTATATGCTATATACACTAATCATTTTTATGGTGAAACTTCCAAGTTTTTAATTAATTAATTTCACTCAATTTTCATCCTATATCATCGATCGTGTTATTTTTGTAATTTTACATATACTAATACTTTTATGGTGAAACTTTCAATTTTTTATTTATTAAGTATCCTTCAAACTCATAACAATATCAGGGAGGTGTTAGACGGGGATTTCAAAGGACTTTAATGAATAATTTTTTGTCAAAAAAAATTAAGAGGTATTCAATTAGGATTTGAGATGATTGAAAAAAAGTTAGTAGTATTCGATTATGATTTTAAAATATTATTTAGAGTCCGTCTAAATCCGTTGGTATACAATTGAGATTTTAAACAAAGAAAAATAATCATATGGTATTAAAAAATATGACGATTTTAATGGATTTTCTATTGTGTGAATTTCACGATACTTTTCAGTGAGAAATATAAATATGATGCTCTCTCGCAATCTCACCATAGCCCTTAGGATTTCTTGATATTTCTTCATTGCAATGTATTCTTCTTCCTTTGGCAGCTTGACCCGCTCGAAATCAGGTTCCGCCATGAGAGCTTCATCAAAACTAAAAAAATAACATATTTTTTAGTGATTTCCACCATAAAACAACCCAAAAATAACAAATCAACAAGATTCTAATATAATCCATCTCAAAAACAGTAGATTTTTTAGAGCTTTTTGAAGTTTAAAAATAATTTTTCAAGCTATGGGTCGCGATTTTTCTTCACAAAAAAATGTATGATTTTTGTATTAAAAACAACCTAAAACAGTGGGAAAACAACGGAGGAACTAAAACCCTCAAATCAATTTTTGTTTTACATCAATGAAATAATATATATTTAAAGAAATATTGAAACTTTCATTATATGAACCCTATATCTCGTAACAATACATTTATGAACGAAATTTTTTCGTTATAGAAAATGATTTCAAACAATTTTTATGTCATTAGATAACTAAATACTTGTTTTTCAAAAGCCCCAAAGCAATTTAAAGTTTCAATGTATCGATTGAAAATAATTTGTGAAATTTTCTAAACTTTTATGTAATAAAACTCAGAAATCGATATTCGAAATATTTTTAGAATACTCAATGAAATCATGCATATGATATATGGTTATAAAACTCTCATCATGTAGAACAATAATCTCAAGGTTTCCAAGATCAATTGCAAAAAAATTGAAACAAAATTTTATCATAAACTTTAGGTTCTATATGTAAATTTAGAATTATTTTAATAATAAAAAAATGGATTTTATAATCATATATGCATAGCTCTGATACCAAATAAAGAAGATAATTTTCAACACACTGGTCAAACCCAAGAGCAAAAATGAGAAAATGCTAACACGTGGAGGACTAGTATAACTTTAGATATATGGAGAGTCGTTGCTTAGTAATTTTGAATGTTTGTTAAAAATTATATTATGTTTTACTTATTAAAAAAATTATATTATATTTTACTTTTTTTTTTTATTAATATCATTGCATCATCACTACCACCATTGCTACAGCCTGCAGCTACTGTCGTCAGTCGGCTACCACCACCACTATCACCGCCGTCACCACCATGCTACAACCACCACCACACCACATGAAAAGATAGAAATAATTTTTTATTATAATATTTATTGTATTATTAAACACAATATATTATATAATAGAATCTGCACTTGTATAGTTGATTGAGACACATGGATTTTTCCATATTCTTCTCGGTCTTGTTATTCATCAAAGACTTTTCATTCTACCCGTATCACTAATCCTTAACCAAGATATTGTGAGGTGAACCTTCAAATCCTCAATTCATCTTGAGATTCGTTTCTGTTGCGAGAAAATGATTAAGATTTTGGTGCCGAGCTTTGTCAAAATTCTTAGTAGGATAAGCTGTGGAATTTGAGCGAGACAATGTGGGTTCTTGCATTCTAAAAAATTGGCTCGTTACCCGTGCATTAACAATATCATTTCTGCCCATTGGATTAAATTGGAGCAAGGCGTGTGATTTTATTGCCTTGTTCTAGGAAGTTTGTAATGCTTGCATCGGTGTTGCATCTTCTAAGCATTGTTATTTGCTCGCGTTCAAACCTCACACCATGAGGATCTTAACCTTTTATATCATTGTATTAGACAAGTACAAAGAACTGTTTTTAAATTTGAATTCATTTTCGATGACCAATGAAAGATTAAATGGGAGACGGAAAATAACTCAAAGTGAAGTGAATTTTGTTTGTGAAGGGCTAAGTACAACATATGATCAAGATTGAGCCATGTGGCAAAATCTACAAGTCGCCGCCTCTATTCCATGCATGACTTATTTGGTAGATAAAAATATGATGGTCACGATTAAGCCGCGTAGTGAAATGTCTGTGTCGTGTGTGTTTGTGTCATGCACCTAATCCCTTCGCATTTTGTGCATTGACAGGCTCGAAGTCGAAGCTCATGCGCATCTTAACGTGCATACCTCCCTATTATGTTTAAACGCATTATTTTGGTATATTTTTGCATATTGTATTGATACAATAAATCTTTTTACTATTAACATTGTAACTTGTTTATTACTATCTTTTTGAGTAAGATGTCAGACAAAATAGACATAATTATAGTGTAAACAAATATTGTCACTTCCTCATCATCGTCCCATGGTCAAACTTTGAAATTATATTATTTTGATAATTTTTTAAAGGACTTAATGTATTTTTAGTTAATGGAGATAATTTATTTTCAGTGAGCCCAAAACAACGTTATTTTAAAGTTAAAAAATATATTTTTGTAATTCTAATTTATTTCATGTTCTATTATTTATCGTTATAATTTTTCAATATTCCAATCTCAAAATAACATTCTTTTGGACTCACTGGATATAACTTTATTTCAAGTGACAAAAAAACATTAAACCTTTTTCAAAATGGGAGGATTATACTTACCACCACCAATTAAGTTTATTACTTATTTTCACCAAATCTCAACCGTTGATTTTTGCTAATCTAACGGTTATATTCTATTATCCCAATAAATTATAACCGTTAGATTGACAAAAATCAACAGTTGAGATTTGGTGGCAAGAAATAATAAACTTAATTATTGGTAAGTATAACCTTTCCTTTTTTTAAATATATTTAATTAGTAACTTTGCCAACTAAATGACATTAATTATTATTAAATAATTAATTCAACATTATTATTGAATAAATAAACAATGCAATGTAAGTATAACTTGAATGATTAAGATGATAACTACTCTAATTAGAAAATTTTATAATATAACTAACAAAGTTTGGCATAATTGATAAATAGCTGGATCCTTTAATATTTTGACATGAGTTCGATCCATGTATACCCACTTCGATGATCTCCTGCCTCAACAAGGTATAATCAACAAAACCAACCACAGTTAGTAAATAGCTGAACATTAGTTCTATCCCTTTAGCCAACTAAATGACATTAATTATTATTGAATAATTAATTCAACATTATTAATGAATAAATAAACAATGCAATGCAAGTATATTTTCAACAATAAAATGATAACTACTCTAATTAGAAAATTACAAGGTATAACTAATAAAGTCCAGCATAGTTTGTAAATAGCTGAGTTCTGATTCGATCTCAGTTCACTCAATATCTAAATAAAAATTACCAAACAATAAAATAAAATCCTAATAAAAAAAGGATTTGGTATTTGTCATTTTTAAATGACATAAGTTATATCATTTTAAGAGAAAGATAGATACAAGAAATGAAAATCATCAAAGAAAAAAAGTGGATAATGTTTTTTAATTTAAATTTTAAATAAAAAAATTTTATTGTATCTATCTCTTTGTTAAAATGACATAACTTTATGTTATTTAAAACAAATATTTTTTCCATAAAAATATTAATTAAGAACTAGGGTATAAGATATGGGAAATGTATATATAAGAAGTCTGAGCCGGAATTTGTATCGACCGACGGAAAACCTAATCCAGACCTTATTATTTAGCACTATTTAACAGTCGTCTTCTTCCACCGTCCCACATCAAAGCAGTTGCCATCGTTTGGGTTTTGGTTCTTTCGTCAAGCTCTGCAAAGGTAAGTAAGCTCCAATCTATTGAATTTCGTTTTTCCATTCTGTACCGTTCGTGCTTGCCTTTTAAATTCGGTTAATTTTCTTGCTCTAGGCTAGTTGTTGTTTGGTGGTCTATTACTGTCTATGTTTGCATGTGAAAATTTGTTATGTTTTCTCCGGGTCGTAAGCCGTATACAATCTCGTCTCTCTTCCTTCTCTTTCGTCTTTTTATAGTTTCATGTCTATTGTAGTTGAAATTAGAGTTTGTTGTTGTTTTTAAATTCTCATAACAGTATTGTGTTCCGTCTATTTTTATTTTATTTTTATAATGGCCAATAAATAACAATTTGGATCCACTGAATGCAGGTTGGCTGTTTCTTATGGAGGACGGAGAGAACATTCTAGATGCCATATATGATGATGATAACTTAGATGATGTGGACGATGTTGACATGATTGATGTTGAAGAAGGAGAGTTGGTGGAGCCTGATTCGCAAAATGTCTTGGAACAAAGCGGTGCTGGAGATAAAAATGAAGCACATCAAGAATCTCATAGTAAGAACAGCAGACGTAGAGCTAACAAGAAGAAGAATAAGAGAAAGAGGAAGGGTTCGGGATCTAATGGCATGGACATAAACAGGTTTATCATTCTTCCCAATATGGATTTCGGATGGAATTTCTTTTTGGACTAAAATATGATTATTCCCCTTAAACTTTAGTTCATGTGCATTTTACCCCGTAACATTTCATAAACACAATGAATAGATCATTATGCAGCATGTGAATTAATTGAGCATCCTTTCAAAATTCAAAGTAGATGATATACTGAGAGAAGAAAAATAAAAAAAATGAATATAGAGTTCTTTTAGACTAGTTATAAAATATTAACTAACTGACAAACGAATTAAAGAAAAGTATCAAGACCAACCTTCCCTTAATCTGCAAAGGAGTTGTCTATCACCCACCAAAACAAGTGGAGCCACTACATGGGACTTAAATCAACAAGCCAGATATCTTCCAAATACTTAACAACTCCTTGCCAAGATATGTTGTCCTCCAATAACCTACAAAACGAAAATTGGAAAATGAAAATAAGCAGAAGCGCAGTGGTAAATAACTGGGCTATTTGTTTGAAAGCAAGAAAAAGAAGCCAACCAGAAGTCAGACATTCTATTCTTTGCTTAAACCATGCCAAATAAAAAACCAACATCAAAGTTGCGTTGATTCTTTTGCATGAACAGAAACATTTTTTTTTCCCTTCAAGTATCCCAAACCCAACAAACAACTTTCATTTTCTTAGACCCCATCAAGATTCACTGTATGACCCTCTTCTGTCAACCCTTAACACTATAACAATATTATCTGGTCTTGCTAATCAAAGACAACGACCTCAAGAAAGCCACTAAAAGGAAGAAAGTGTTTGTTTAAAGGCCAAGGGAAAAAGAACAACAAAAAGGGTGGCTATATATTCAAGATGAATGAAAAAAGAGCCATTAATTGAGAGTAAAGGAGGCAAAAGAGCCACAAAAGAGTAAAAGGAGAAAGTAGGAGGAGAAGGGGGGAAAGGGAAACACATTACTCTTTGGTGCAGTTCCACTCATTTCTGTTGCAGGCTTTACCGGGCCCATCTTTTCCCCCTCGCTCTGATATCTGATTATCTGTTTCCCTGCAATAATCATAATCTAAAATATCTGGATTCTCTCTGTTCAAACTCCTGTTCATGGCAGGTTGCCTCAGAAACATTTTCAGAGAAAGCACTTTGCTTTTTAGCTATTTTAAAACAAGAAGCTAATGTGATGAGAAAGAATAGTAAAAGGAGTAATAAAAGTCTCAAGCTTTCCCTTCGGAATGCAACAACCAAACGCACAAAGGCAAATGAAATGTGAGGGGGAGAGAAAGTGAAACACTGTTCTATCCCTTCTAGCAGTGTCCTTTCTTGAGGGTGGCCAGACACACAGACAGAGGAGATTAAATGGTCATGTGAGCAAAGCAAGTAATAACGACAAATTTTGGTAGGAGGATCCTACATCCTTGGAGAATTTATTGTTATTACCGATTAATAGATAACACTACAGAACCTGGAACATCCACAAAAGTGTCATTGTTTGGCAATTTTTTTATCCAAATGTTATGTGGACAGTACTTTTTATCAAACTGCTATGCAACGACGTAATTCGTTATAACCGGTAGCAAATTACGTTCGCCAATAATTTTGTGACACGTGACATTTTTGCAGAAAAAAGCTCACTAGACGAAGTTCGCTACTAGTGGTAGCGAATTTGGTATGCAATGTCACCACGTGTCACGAAATCATAGGCGAACATAATTACGTCGCATGGAAGTCTGGTAAAAAGTACTATTTGCGTGACATTTGGATAAAAAATTTGCCAAACAGTGACACTTTGATCACTGTTCCACAGAATCTTGTACAACTCTTAGGCTTTGGCTGCATGGAACTTGCCGGTGCTACCTGAAAAATCGTATGTTTGCATAAGCAAATCTATGACTTCCTAGAGAATTTTAAGTGTGCATTGCGGGGTAGTCATGATAACTCGAAGCACAACCTCTTTATTCATTGTGGAAATAGTGGCACTAGGCACATGAGAGGGAGAGTAGTATGGGAAGAAAAGCAGTAGATCATAAATCAATGTATCACACAATTCTGGCGGCTTGTGCAGCGATTCTGGCTAATGTGTGATTAGCTCTCTGATCTGTGTTGTTTGCCTTGCAAACCATATTGAAACCTTTGATAGGAATTGTGAATTGCACAACTTCTACAACTATGCCACCCAGTGCTTGACGGTTAGGACCAAGCCCCAAAATTTGAAAACTGAAGTTGAGAGTAAACTTGAAATTTTAGCTGAACATGGTAATTTAAGTAGTCCATTAACAGGAGATCACATTGTCGTGAATTATTTGGATGACTAATGAGAATAGGGGTTTTTAAGATTCATCAATAAGCATTGTGGGTTAAATTTCACCTTCTTTAAAGCTAGGGATGGCGTACATGAGATAAAGTTTCAGGCATTACTTTATATTTAACTTTGTTTTTTATGTTTGGTTGTTTTGAATTACTAAACAATGTCTTAAATTTGAATTTTTATTGTGTGAGATGGCTGGATTCATAATTATTTATCACTTTTGTAATTATCTTTTGCTTTGATAGTACAGTTATACAAATTATTCAAGTTCTATGAAGAAACATGGAAAAGTATATGCAGTTTATTGATATTGAATTATTTCAAATTTAATCTTATACTTGGTAATGATTTATCCCTGAAGGCCTCGCTGATCTCATAATAAACTCATCTACCTTTGTGTCCAATAAAATTTGGAATTCTATTATTAAGTATTTAAGTGTTTGTATTAATTTCTTCCTTTTCATTTAGTTATAAAATGCAGCATTGTTTACTGCTATTTTGTTACTCTCAACTATATGCAATCCTTAACCCTGAATTGAATTGAATTGAATGTGGACATAAGGTTGTTTTTTTCTGTTCTTCCCTTTATTTTTAGCAGTCTTCTCATCCACAAGATTGAATTTCTAACAAATTATGTGTTTTTCCAGATTTGTGGTAGATACGTGTCGACGTCTGAAAGAGAAAAAGTCATACATGGTATACACCGCCGTAGGTTGCCTTGGGGTCTCTGCATTACGCGATCTCATCAAAGAGGTATTGAAACCCTGTTATGCACTCGGTGTTGGTTTAATAAGCAAGCTTACTTCGTTCATTAGCTTGTCTATAAGATTTTCTGTGAAATATCATGGCCTCTTGGAAATTGGAAAACAATTTAACAACCACCTAAATAATAATTCATCATATGCCTTGAATGATGTTGATGATAGTGTTTAATACTTGGTATCTGTCTATTCGAAGATATTATACCCAAAGGATCTACCAACTCAGCCATCATGTTTTTCTTTCATCAAAAACTGCTTAAGGATTTACTTCTAATTGGATTCCTGTACTGGAATTTGTAGTCCCCCTTCACTAAGTTTCTTACCTACGCATCTTGTCTTAGTTCCCATTCGTTTCTGTTTTCCTTCTTACACTGATTTAATAATTCTAAATTCTTTTTTTTTCTCTAATTGTATCGGAGTTTTTGTTGCCAAGATTGATTGTCTATGGTGGTTTTAGTTTGAAGGGATTATTCTGAGGTTTGGTTCTCTGTACCGTGCACAGTTGTTAGAATTATCTTTATTTTTTTTGGTTTGTCTTATATTAGCCACTTTATAACCTCATATGATGGTGTCCACAACCTTGGTTTTAATCTTAGAAATGTTGTTGAGTTTACATGGTCCTATGGCTACTTTCTGAATATTCCCAATCTTGGCTTCACTCACTGGCTCAATGGCCTCTTCTTTTAATCTCCTACTGGAATGTGCATTGTATTTATTTGAAAGATTTATTTTTCTTAAATATTTTCCATTTCTAAAATGGGAATGTTGCTATGGTTGGTTGGAAGCAGACATAATTTGCTTGCCTGTTGTAAGGAAAGGTGAGAGTTAAGGTTCCGCCTGATTTGGACGAGCCTTGGGTTGGTTATGCTTATCCACTCTTTCAAGCTCCATGCAGCCGTTCATAAATTCTGATATGTGCAATTTTGTCCCTAAACTTGCAGATTTTTCTTCCAGATGCTAGTTTGCTCCTTCCAATCCTGTGCTTGAGCTTCAATGTTCCTGGCTGAACCACTTCATTATTTACTAGTTGTGAAGGTTGATGTCCATATTTGTTGCTTCATTTTGTCAGTTGTTGTGCATGTGTGTAAAATGAAGGGAAAACTAATGACTGTTGATTTAATCTTTTTCGGTCAGTTCAATGTAGCAACCAAAAATTTCAGAGCCAAAATTGGATCTCTCCAAATGTACAGCATATTGATTATCCCAATTTCATTTAACTTATGACATGATCTCTGTTTTATAACATTGTAATCTTTTTTTAGTTTAATTAACTATTTAGCTGAATAGCTAACTGTTAAAGGAACTATTGGGGGTACAACTAAGATTTTAGTTTACATGTTCTAAGCATCGTAAGACATTTTCTTATTGACTGGACAGGCCAGCCCTTAGTTTAATTGGGTTTACCCTAAAACCTAAATGATGGATAACCCTAAAACCTAAATGATGGATAATCACACTGAAAGTTGTGTTTAAATATGCATCTAGTTTTTTTTGTTGAAAAGATCATTAACTTTTGGGCTTTTGCTACCCAAATCTGCAGCTTTCCTCTGCACCAGGATTTCTGCACTAGTATTATCAAGCAGTGGAGACTGGGGACTTATTGGCTGAAATTTTGGAATGTTATAACTTATAACCTATGAACATATCATTTCCTCTCTGTTTCTTCTTTTTCTATTTGATGTTGCGATTTTGTCATTATATTTTACTATATGTGCTATATGCTTCACGTGCAATCACAATGGATAATCCACTATTTATATATTATGTGCAAATTATATATTGCTTACTTAAATTTCATACTGATAGGATCCATTTTTTATTCTTATAGATTTTTGTTATTTTCTTATCTGTACATTGTAAACTTGTATAATGATATGTGGAAGTCACAGGTGGATGCGATACAGGCTTGTGGAGGCCAGAAAACTGCTGATGGTAGACGATTCCGAACTGGGGGTGGCATATTGTGGAACATCATAAAAGTTCGGGAACCAAAGGCCTACAAAGAGATAATGAAAAAAGCAAAGGAGTTTGAGGTGTGTGATTAAAGTTTGTAATTTTAGAACTGACACTTCTTTTTCAAATTACGTTCCCATTTATGCAGTGAAAACAATGTACATTTTTATTTTATTTTATTTTATTTTGGGAGGGGGGTATCCGCTGTCTAGGACTCCAGAAAGAGGCCATAATTATGAGAGTAATGTTTATTTCATAAGCAGAGAGAAACAATTACATAAGCGGTTTGTATTAAGAAAGGATTCTTCTTCTTTTTTCTATCTAAATAAATTAAGGCAGGTTTTCTCTTTGTTTTAAAGCTTAGCCTCTAACTTCTGAAGTGGGTATGGTATTGGTATTGAATTTAAAATTAAATGGTTAAAACGTTGGGGTTAATATTTGGATCCTTACTAGCATTCATGGTCGATTTGGTAGTTGTTGGAGGACAATGCCATAATGGTCCAGGTTCAAATGCTGGTAGGGTCCAAAAAATAAATAAATTTGGAGATCCTTTAAAATGCAATTTTGTATATTACAGGTTAAGGGGGAAGTGATTACCATTGATAAGAAAATTAACAGAGTGAGTTGACCAATGGATGATGATTACACTAATTTACATAAACCCTTAAAGCTGAAGCCAGTTTCTCCATGTGCATAATGCATGTTGGAGGAGCATTTTTGGTCCAATAATATCCTCAGATTCTATAATATGGACATGATTTCTACTCCAAAAATCCCAATTCTAGCTCTAAATTGGAGTAGATGGTCTTTTAAAGGCCGATTAAGGTTATTATCACAGAACAAGTCCCCACTTTGCAAAGAAAACTGCTAACCACTGAATTGCAGATTTTACCGAAAATTGATTACCTTATTGGGATTCAGATCTTTTGGATAGCAGGCAAATAGTTTGGGGAGAATTTGTGATTGACATCTATTATCTTTTTTGAGATTGCTTTGTGTTCAAACTTCTAACCACTGAATTTTTCAGGGCAACCCCTTACTTCAAGCATAGTGAAGCTTTTTGTTTGTTAGATCCATATTCTTTTGCTCTTAAATAACTGTTATCAATAGTCATCATGCGTAACCAAGACTCTCAAAATTGTTAATTGCTTTGAAATAGCTGTTTTTTGTTTTGTTTTGTCATTGCTTATATTTATAATAATGCAGAAACAATTCAGGCAGCCAAATATTAAGCAACTACCTGGGCTAAAGAAAGAGGATTCTTCTCAAGGAGTGGCCTTTTCATTTGCTGGCAGGGATCAGGGCAATGTTTCGGATAGTGCTTCTCTTCCATCCCAAATGCAAAATCAACATGAACCAGCAACTTCTGAACAAAAACCTATTTCTGTTCATGATAGGTTAAGGATACCTGTTTCATATGATGATGATCTGCTCGGAGAGAATCCAGTTAGTGATGCAACCTGACTCTGGAAGTAAAGTGATCTTCATTTCTCACTCTTGGATGGATATCCACCGATGCATCTCTCTTATTCCCCGTTGGGACTAGGGCTATACTACTCTCCCTCCCCCGTACTTTCTTTTCTTTTCACGTTGGTTAAACAAGTTCACAGATGGAGCAGTATTTCCATTTTTTCCCCCCGAAGGAAATTGTCATTTGTGTTGAAAAGACAAGTCTTTATTTATTTTGCCATACGGCTTTCTGATATACTTATTGGATGAGGGCTAAAAAAAAGAATTACAAAAAAATAAGAAAAAAGTTAATACTGTTGGAGGTATTGTGATTCCAATTGTCCGACGTTGTTCGCAACTGCCTGTTTAGTTTTATCGTTAATATGAAGCGCTGCATTTGTCTGAAATCCATATGGATTTATCTATTGCTAAATGAACCTCCTCCCTCCATAGTATTTAATATCAACATCAATAACACCTCTATGCTCCAGTGTATTATGAAAATAAAAATAAAAATTGAACGGGTTGTGTTAATTCACTGATCATGTTCTGGAGTTTGAATTTCTTTTCCACACAAATGTAATTCCTGGATGTATATGATAAGATATAATTTTCAATATTGAACGGTATTACAATTCAGCATCATAACAGGGCCTTATTATCATTCAGTGAAAAAATGGCCTTATCGAGAAAATTAAGTTGTCATGGATTTTCTACTTTTTAAGTGTACAAGGTTTTGTTTCTTTTCTTCTGCAGGAAGAGGCAAACCACGGTGCAGTCATCTACTTTGGAAAAAGGGTACTTGTTTTTCCATGTGGCGGTGGCTGCTTCCACTACTGCCTTTGCTGCTTCCTTTTCAGTGTCTGCCGTCCACACAATTGAAGAAACCTCGTTGTTGCTCAGTACATCCCACACCTAGAAGCACATAAGCCCACAAAACAGGGAAAAAAGGGGTCATTAAAACAAAATGCTTTTGCAAATACCAACCTGTTTTATTCTCACTAGAAGTGGAAGCTCTGTTTTCTTTTTCTTTTTTTTCGTCCCCCATTTTAAATCTTCATATGCAAAATAACATTATCATAAGTAAATAACACATACCCCATCACTTGCAAGTACAATAAATTGGTCACTGGATGTTAGAGAGCGATACGAAATATCTGGAATGGCAATGATACCGTGGTCTTTGAGCATGAAATCTCCAAAAGCTCGAGACATGGCTAGGCCTGGGGAGTTCTCATTGGGTAACCACACTCGCTGAATGTGTGATTCTTCCTTCAACGCAAATACGCGACCATTGCAACTTCTTATTCGATCTGCTTCGCCTGCATTTGAATTTACAATTACAAATATCTGTTACTCAACGTGAAAGAAGAATATGGTAAAAAGCTGCATGCTAGTCATAGGATAGGAAGAGTCTTACGAGGTAATCCTGGCTTCATATCCGTGGTCAATTGAATGGGTATGATCTCATCGTCAGAGACTGTCCCCAAGATTGCTCTCGAGTCACCGAGGTTAGCTATGACAAGATCTTCACCCTGTTTATCGTTATGTTCATTGTATTTCCATTACACAAGAGTAAAATAAATAGCAAAGCCAATGGACTAAAAGGTTCAGTCAATAGTTTCATGGTTTGGTTTACCTCTCTTATGACAACTACAGCTGTGGTTCCACTGCAAGAGCAGTCTATATTCTCTTGTAGCTTCACCTCCTTGTCCATCACCCTGAAAGCACTAAGAATAGCTTCTTCCCATTCTTGAATATTCTTGTTTGGACCCTTATCGTCTTCCACCTTGTCGACATGGTTTAGGATGTTCTCATCACCCTTTTCTAACGCATCATCAATCTTCGAGTGAGCATCCTTTTGGTTCAATATGAGTGAAAACACACGCTTGCTTACTATTTTGCTCACTATGTGACCATTCCTTCCATGTCCATCAAACACGCCACAATATGCTGCGTCTTTCGTCCCAAAACCCTTGTAAAAAAGAATAGAGAAGTTTCAATAATTTTATATGCTTCATAATAAGTATAGCTGTACAATTTAATTAAAAGTAGTTCTTTTTCTTTATAACAAACAAACCTGAAGAAAAGTGGCAGCATCTTGGTTGAGTCCTTTGCTACCCTGTTTAGAGTAAACAGAGCAAAGTCTCGGAGTCTCACATAGAACATTGCTTGATTCAAATATTATTACATTTTCATCACGACCTTCTTCAGGTTCTGGCGCCCCATGAATCGCTGAAGATTCAGTTGATATGCAGATACCCATTCCACCCCGGAGAGCTTTTCTTCTTCTGTAATTTATTATAATCAAAGAATGAAATAAATCTAATCCTCAAGAACCTGAAGACCAAATATATAGCAATAATTTACAAATTGCAATATTAATATATAAAGGTGCTTATGTTGTTATGTGGTTCCTTGTGGGCTGAAAGGTTAAAGCTTACTTAAACTCAATAATAATTGACTGGTTTTTTAATGGTTATTTATTCAACTAGGATGTCCCAACACTGGCTTTAAGGGGCATGCACGGTGGATTCTTCTAAACCAATCAAACAGGTATGACTTCATATATTTAATATTAACAAAATCGCTAACATTCGTGAGAGATTCTAATACCATTATGCAAAATCATTACCTCATTGAACTATTCATCCATGCTATAATACTACCATCCATATAATGAGGTAACAATGCATTTGAATCATGGAGCTTCGTGAAACAAGGATCTTGTAACTATCAGTTAAAGAAAAGAACAATCCTATAATTAGTACCTTAGCTGAGCGAAACTACATATATATTTTTTAAATACAGTGATAACGCTTAGGTTTCAATTTATAATCTCATATAAACTAGCCAAACTCTCTGTCACTAGATTAATATATTGGCTTGTTAAACTATATTTCAATACTTAATGGGTGATTGATTTCCGTAACTGGTAACCGATCCCCACGAAAATGATGATTGAACTAAGAATGATTATCATTGACCAATTGTACGCAGCTAAGAGGAGGGTGAAAATTGGATTTATAGTTAATTAGTTGAGAAGAATCCTTGGTTACAATTTCATAACAGATTGCATTTTTATATTGTATTGTTTTTTGGTCTAAAGTTTGGTTCATGTGAATGGCTCATTTATTAATTTTGGGCATATCTTATATGTAAGTACTAAAATACTAAAAAATGATGCACCGAAAAAATGCTAAAAAAATGCTATAATAGCAATATGCAATAGTGACAAAACTTGACTTTTGATTATTATTTTTCTAATCATTACTTCATTTGGAGACATTTTTCTATGCTATGGATGTATGGTACATTTCTCCAAAAAAGAAGAAAAGGTGAGGACACAAAGGCAAATAGCAAAAAATATTTGGATTGAAATGAGATAAAAATTTATTTATATAAAAAAAGATGCATCAAGTTGGATGCTACGGGAGTAAAAAAAAATCCCATCATTTGGTGCGTAAGATTAAGTCAAATTAATATTCACAAGGATTCAGTTTTTACACAAGATTTTCAATATAAAAATTAATATAAGATGAGAAAAGTTTAATACACAATTTTGCATAACAATAAGTAAAAGTAGGCTACAGATAATACGTGAAACTAAAATTCAGAGTTTTACATATTTACTGTAACATGAATTATACTTAGTGGTAAGCTTAAGAAAATACAATTATTTGAGTCCGTAAGATGCTAATTATGTGAAGACTTTAACCATATTGTTTTGTATCAAAATATATTAGTTATAGATTAGAAAATATAAGAAAATCTTGAGAGAGATACATACCCTTTAACCCGGCATTGGAGTGTTTATGTGGATTCACCGGCAATATCACAGGTCCTACGACGCCAGGCTACTTATCTTTTTTCGGGACAAAAAATTACGTGTTTTTCAAAAAATATAAGGAGATTTCTTAGGTGACTTTTTTTTGTAGGGTATCAATTAACCATCTTTTTTAATAAAGAGACATGAATAAAAATATATATTTTAAATAAGTGGTATCAGTTTGTTTTTTATTTTGGTGGATTATTGACTTAAAAATTTAAAAGATCAATTCTCGAAATGAAATATAAAAGCATGTAGAAGTTTCCACGACGCATAAATAGTCACCACAAAATATCAACAGTTTCTTTGTCAAATGAAAAAAAACTTTAGAATCGCATGATAAACTTCCCTTATCATTCCTCCACATATGATCACATATCACTTGTTCACTCTCCCTTAATCACTAATTGATGTGTTTTAAAATACATTCCATATATTTAACTCTGTCATTTAAAATAGCAAATGATATTAACTTGAGAACAAACGGATTGTAAGAATCTTATCCAAATACAAAGAAAGATTATTCATGCTAGCAACAATCTTTCCCATGCCAACCTAGTAAAACTAGGCTCCAACTTGAACATTGCGAATTATGATCATATTCCATTACCCTTGAGAGATAGGATGACCTAGTACAAGTACAATCCACTTCCACAACTCCTGAGTTTGAAATGAAGGGAAATTAGGCAGAAAATTTGCATCCCCCCTGGAGTGGAAGTTTGATGTGCGCATTAGGGAGACAGTTTGCCAGATGGAAGTGTGTAATAACTTGGGATAAAAAACCAGTGAACTGACATAACAATCCATCCAAATTTTTCGTATAAAATAAAGGTATGCATAATTTACAGAAAATTACCATGACATACATGTTAAATATTACTTATAATTTCAATATCTTTTTTGCAATGTAAGAAGCCATACAGATGAAAGGAACAACTTAAATCACACGAGAGACCTAATAACACAATGACATTCTCATTGGCTGGATACTGGAGCATTATCTTCGGTAGCCATTGGCTCTACCAGAGGAGCCTTCTTCGCAAGTGACTTGGGTATGTCAATATAGTCTTGGATACAGCGCTGTTGAGGATGCAACAATAGTATTAACACGTGACGGAAAAGAACACGTGCTAACCCTTGACCACTTTCCATGATATAACCCTCATACTCGCTAACATGTTCAAGAGCTTCCACCAGTGTATCATATACCTCCTGGGGACAGTTGTCAGGTCCAGGTTTGTCATGAAGGTACATGACATCCAAAGTGAAGAGCTTCTGGTTCACAGGACACTGATGCTGTGGGCGGACTGATGATCTACAGTAGAATAGAATCTAGAATGGAGTAGTATATTGCATATCAGGATTCATAATACCAGACTAAAAGTCGTAAATCAAAATGTCATCCAACCAATAAATTTTAAGGACTTCCATAATAGATGAAATGATTTTCTATGCTAACCAAGAAATATGAAATGACACAGACAAATCATTGAGCGCAGGCAACACTTACCACTCTTAAAATGCGACCCTGCATACGGGATTTCTTAGCTTCATGATAAGCAAGTCGGAACAAATTAGTAAGATCTGGTTGACTACTTGTTGAAGTAGCTGAAAGCCCCCTTATTGCTGCAATTGCTGACTCAGTTTCACTGCTAAACTCTTTCCTCAGCTGTAATTATTAAAATATGCAAAAATTCATGTTTAATATATGCTTTGAACATCCACCCAGCGAAAGACATAAAGAATGATGGGAAGAGCCATATCCAACAACGGAAAAACCTAAATGCATTTATTTATGTACCAACGTCTATCCAGATGATCAATGCACAGATAGCACATGAAACTTGAAGGAAAAAGAATAAGGTAAAAACTCAGAACATGAGCACATAGCACATCCTTCCTAAATATGATCAAGATTCAACCAATTTGTTTGTTTTTTAAATATGAGCAGGTGATCCTTGTTGCAGAGGTAAGGTTGCTACCTTGTGACTTGAATGTCAAGAGTTTTAATCACAGAAACAACCTTTGTACTCTAACCACTGAGGTTCAAGGCTATGAACATTTTGCGCTCCATAGACCCCACAAAATTGGAATTCTATAGTACAAGTCATCGAATCTCCTGGTAGTTTGACTTTGAATACAAAAATGATAATCTTGGGTATCAACAGGCAATTGATGGGTTTCCTCATCAACCACCAGGGTTTTAAGAATATAGTGGCTAATAAAGACTAGAACGGTATTGATGAAAATGCACATTTATTGCTAAAAAGCACTACAAGCAGCAGTAAGAAAATGAATACAAGTCTGTTGCTCATGTTATCCAGTAGATTGAATCTTAAAATAGTTAAGACTTTACAATAAGTTAGCGGCATAATTTTGTTTCTTAGCCTTGTTTCACTCACACAGTTTCATGATCCATTCAATCTCCTATAGAGATATCCTACGACCCCTGTCTTATTTCTGTTTGGTTAAAATATATTTTTGATTCCAATACATGACACTCATTTTTTCAATTTGGTCCACCACATACGAACAAAGTTTTCAATTTAGTTCCTATATACACAATCATTTTCAATGTTATCCTTGGCGTTTATTGCCATTATAACGCTAAGATATTGGTACGGAATTATAGAGAAGTATAGCAACCAAATTAAAAATGATTGTCACAACATATAGGGACCAAAAATGTAATATTTATGGTCCTTAGACATGATATTCATTTACAATTTAATCCACACAACTTCCTGTGTTAGTTCTAACAGACAGCAAAGGATGTAAGTGAAAACAATTAAACATTTAGAGACTAAAGTTGAAAACTTTTTTTTTTTGTTACCAAATTAATAACGAGTGTTAGGTGTTAGGACCAAAAATATATTTTAATCTTTCTGTTTTCCCCTTTCAGTTTTGATCTGTGGTATATATATATATATAGTTCCCCTTTGTGTGTATGATCCTTAGTGGTAAAATACAACCAGAGAAAATGCAAAACAAAGCTAAGATATAAAAGGGAATATTAACATGGCCTCGAATCGAATACAAGTAACATGTTCTGAGCACGTAATTTTAAGAGTTAAACTAAAGGAATGGTTAATGATTCACTATAACTAAAAACTGAAATGTTTTTGTTTTTGCATCATATGTATAATTGAAAAGAAGTATTTCGATAAAGAAGAGAAGAAGAAAAAGGAGAATAGGGTTACCCATGAGACAGAGTTGGTGAGTGCAGCGAAAGCGAAACGATGTTCGGGATTGATGGTGAGTTTGGCGTTGATGAAGAGAGCGATGGCTTGCTTAATTGCGTCCAATCGAGTGAGAGGTCTACCATTTTGTCCAACAATCTTCATCTCAATAAGTGATTCTGGATCCACATCTATGCAAAACAATATATCTTCGTTGCTAATTCGCGAGGGTTTCAGAGTGTACCTGCTTCCCTCACCCCTGCTCCTATCTCCTTCAATCCCCTCCATCTCTCTCTCTCTTTCTTGCTATCTTCGTTATTGATTAGAGAGTGCAAATGCTAATTACTGAGTTCTAACCTCACTGTTCCACTGCCAAACAATTTCCTATTCAAAGTTCAGAGTTAGCTCACCAATTTTCTACCCATTAATTTCATCTTATAAATAGCGGAACAGTGAGGGGAAATTCTCCCAAAACACGTGATTTTTTTTGTTATACACCGCGAAATATGTAGCGTGATATTTTGGCAAAATTGTTTATTATCGCACTCGTTACCAATCTAATATTAGAATATTAGTTTTAGATGAAAGGGTGGTCTAATTAATCTTTATTTTTTATTTTAAATATTAATCGGTCTCCAAAAACGGTGGTGATAGGCAGCTATATTTTCATCCCAATTTTTTCTACGTAACGAGAGTAGGCATTTCTTTATGAAAAGAGAAAAAATTGGATACGGAAGAAAATAATTATAAATGTAAGAATAATGTAAATGAGTTACTTATTATCATATTTAATAAAGAATTTACTGAATGCTTGATACTTTCTTAACACTAAAAATATATTTGATTTTTTGGTAGGTTAAAAATATTTTCAAATCCTATGACTATGGTGTGGTTTTTTTTTTTTCGTTTTGTTTGAGTAGTAATACAAAATTAGAATGAAATAAGAGAAAAAAAAAAAAAGAATTGATTGATTGATGTTAAAATGATTTAATGATTTAAATTTGGTTGGTTGTGTGTATGATAAATTTAAATGGTGGTAAATATAATTGCCTCTTTTAAAAATAGTCATTAGTTTAATTCTTTATTGTATTTTTAGATATCAATATAATTCTTAAATTAATATTTATTTTACAATATATTCATGAATCGGATAATATTAATAACCCCTAGGTGATTGGATTGGACCGTTCAGAAAGATGGACCCTAATGGGATCTAGTATCAGATACCAAATTACGAAAACACAACCAAATTAACTTGGGCCATAGGCCCATGAGGTGCCCTGTTTGATGGTCGAGAAAAAGAACGATGTATATTTATAGGAAGGAAAAGTGGACAATTTCCGTTTTCAGGAAAAAAAGCCAAAAAAAAAAGAAAAAAGGAGAGGGAAATTTCTTGGAAAAACGTGGAGGGACCTAAACGTCGGTGTGGCACTGGTGTCCTTCAAATTTGGAACACGTAGACGTAGTTTTCACTATATGGTGACCGTGGACTGGTGACTGGTTCGTTGTTTGGTATTGACTTTTTAAGTGCGTTTGGCTTCAACTTCAACCTTGGCAACCAAAAAATTAATAATATATAAATATTCTCAATTTCAGAATCCTATTCGCCAAACCTTCCTTACTCTTTTGGGGTTTCGATCTGGAATTTAAAATTTTGTCACCATGAACGCAGCTTCGTATTCTGCTGTTTTTTCCAATGCCAACTTCTACGATTCTAGGTTTCGAAGTCTCGATCGGAAATTCTCAGCGTGAGCTCGCTCGCTCGCTCGCAATCATCTACTTTTAATGTTCTCGCATTTGCATTTCTTTAGTTTGTGAATTTGATCGATTTACTATCAAATTCCTAAAACCTTGACCAAACCCTATTTATTTTCTGCACTGCACGTCTTCATTGCAAATTGTGAATATTTCATTTCTCAAATCGAGTTTGGACTTTTTTATTATTATAAACGAATTTCCCCGCTTGAATCGCCATATAGGTTATCTCCTTCGAATTCAATTATATGTGAATATACACTTGTTTTCTATTTATCACTCTTGAGTAGTATTTGCTAAATTAGTCATGCTCTGCTGCCTTTTCATTTTGGTCACTCGCTTTCTTTATGATCAGGTCATGTTCTGATATCCGAAATCTTACCTATGTCACTTGCCATTCGGATTGTAACAAGTCTACATCTCAATCATCATTGTTTTTGAGTCCTGGCTCAAGGAATAGAGGAAATGGCATGCTTGGGGGACCTTTTTGTTCGGATCCTTCTGGCAGGAGAAACCTAGTTTGTCAGGCATCTTATTCTGTGGATACAAGCACATGTGATGGAACTGCTTTACAATCTTCTTCCCATGTTGCAGAAGAAAAAGTTGGCGTGCTGCTTCTCAATCTAGGAGGACCTGAGACGCTGAATGATGTTCAACCTTTTCTGTTTAATCTTTTCGCAGATCCTGTATGCTAGTTTGTTTTTGTACTTTCTCTACTGTTTGACTTCAAAGTTTTTTGTTTTTTTTTTTTGTTTCTGTTTGTCTAAATTCCATATTAGCATTATTAGTACACATTCGTATAATTTATATGACAATAATATGTTTCTTTGTATTGAGATAGGATATCATTCGTCTCCCAAGGTTGTTTCGGTTTCTCCAGCGACCATTGGCAAAATTGATTTCTGTACTTCGGGCTCCTAAATCCAAGGAAGGGTATGCTGCTATTGGAGGTGGCTCTCCTTTACGCAAAATTACAGATGATCAGGTGGACTTGAAATTCTCTTTTGTTTCTTTCTTCTTTTGATTTTTCGCATTATAGGCTGCGTGTTGCTTTAATTTTTCTGCAAGAGGAATACTTCTTTGGCTTTTTCCTGATATATTCAATAACAATTCTGCATTTTTGTGGTTTAGACTGTAACTAACTACGCTTGTGTCATTTGTGGTGCTTGTACAGGCACTTGCTATTAAAATGGCTTTGGAAGCAAAGGGCCTCCCTTCAAATGTCTATGTTGGGATGCGGTACTGGTACCCATTCACTGAAGAAGCAGTTCAGCAAGTAAGTTCGTATACTTTTTGGTCAAATGTCACCATTCTGCTTTTTTCTCATCATATATATTTGTTTTCCCTTCATAATTGACATACAGGGTGATTAATAATGACTTTGGATTATTCTGAGCTCCATTTTTTCACCTTAGAGTTGAATATAAAATTAAAAGGTTGTTGTGCGTGATAGATTAAGAGGGATGGAATAACGAGGCTTGTGGTGCTACCTCTTTATCCCCAGTTTTCTATATCCACAACTGGGTCAAGCATCCGTGTTCTCCAGCATATGTTCAGGTACTATTTATTGGCACTTTGTGAAAGGTCTTAAGTGATTTAAGATTATAATTAATTGATATCATTTAATTTTCAGGGAAGATGCGTATTTGTCTAGGCTTCCTGTTTCCATTATAAATTCTTGGTATCAACGAGAAGGTTATATTAAGTCAATGGCTGACTTGATTGAGAAAGAGCTCCGGAGTTTTTCTGAGCCAAAGGAGGTAGATTTCATTCTTGTGTTTAATACTTTCAACATGGTTCTTTTGATGCAATAAATGAAAAATTCACTATGGGGCCTGTTATCAGGGCTTAAAAAAATTGAAGGATGTATGCTGTATTTTACTGCAATTTGTACTATGGCTTATCTTGTTTTTCTATATATCAGGCAATGATATTTTTCAGTGCTCACGGTGTACCTGTCAGTTACATTGAGGATGCTGGGGATCCATACCGAGATCAAATGGAGGAGTGCATCTTCTTGATCATGCAGGAGTTGAAGGCTAGAGGAATTAGTAACGAGCACATTCTTGCTTATCAGGTTCATTTTTAACTCTTTCCAACTTGGTTTTCTGACATCTTGAGCTGAATAGAGATTTCATGTTTAAATGCTGACTTGTGTACTTGCTTTGGTTTACATTTTATTGTACTTGTATCTCACAATTTTGTGGAATGAATTTCCAGAGTCGAGTGGGTCCTGTACAGTGGCTGAAACCGTATACAGATGAAGTTCTTGTTGAGCTTGGCCAGAAAGGTGTGAAGAGTCTTGTAGCTGTTCCAGTGAGGTACATTATTATTGGCCATTTATGCTTTGTTGATTTAAATCATTGACCAAACCGTTTAGATTTTAAATTATGTTACTCATTACAACACTGTCGGAAGTTGTAAATAGCCTTAAGATTAAAAGTAGTCCCTTCTTGTATCCCAGCTTTGTGAGTGAGCACATCGAGACTCTAGAAGAAATTGATATGGAGTACAAGGAACTGGCTCTTGATTCTGGCATCAAGAATTGGGCACGTGTCCCTGCCCTTGGTGTTACAGCTTCCTTCATTACAGATCTAGCAGATGCTGTAATAGAAGCTCTCCCATCGGCAACAGCAATGTATGCACCGACCAGCACCTCTGAAGATGTTGATCATGACCCAGTTAGATATTTTATCAAGATGTTCTTTGGTTCCGTCTTGGCATTCATCTTGTTTTTATCACCCAAAATGATAATGGCATTCAGGAATCATGTCATCTAGATGAATTAAAAATTTCCTACTGAATTCGATATGCGAGGATAGTAGTTGAAACTATTGATAACAACTTGTATACTTGGTTTACTCCTTTCAGCCTGTACTGCATACATCACAGATATAGAAGAAGCGATTTTTTTGTACTTGATCATGATGGGAACTTGCTGGTAAAATGTGCCATATTATCTATTAGAAATCCAAGCACTGACAAGAGCCAGTTCCAGCAACAATGAGCTCGAGCATACTGTGATTCCAACAGGTGAAAGTGGTTAGGTAGCCGCTTGTTAGTGCAACAGCTAGATGCTTAGATACACTGGATCTGTCTCCTTTAAGTACAACACCAAACAATCCCATCAAAAAGGAACCAAGCGGGAAAATGTGTAAAATTTTTGATTGAGTAAACTATCTAAATCAGCTTCCTAATCAATAAACTTCAATAATTTCATTTAAAGGCAATGTTGAAGCAAAATGTAACTGTAAATTGTTTAGTTCTACTCTGCCTTAGGTCACTAGAAAATGTGAAAGGGTTGTAACTATGCATAATCAGTATATCTCAAATGGTGTTGAGTAAATAAGTCAAATTGAGTGCCATGCAGATCAAGCAATTAAGGAGTGTGCAATATAGATGAAACACACCTAGAACAAGCTAGTGCTATGCTGTGAAAGAATAAAAACGTACTTGCTTTATATAAAATTAAAAAAAAAAAAAAAGTAGAATATGATTTAATTCCCAGATACACCCCTAATTGGATATATACGCTTCTTTTAGGTGATGAGTCCTATATGGCTGCAGTACATTTCTTTTAGATGATGAATGCCCCGATCAACTAAGGTATCCAAACACATGGTCCAGCAAAACAATTAATGTTAATCTTTACAATAAAGGATAAAGAAACAGAGATAAAGATAGAACATGCAGCATTGTGTATAGTATCAGATAAATCGATCTCACTAATTAGGTCTCATCCTTAAGTCATCACCATCAGCGCTCAGGCCCAAAACCTGGTATAAATGGTTCCATCTTATTAATATTGGAAATGTACAACAAATTTTTCTCTTCTTTTATACGAAAACAAATAATATGGAGAATTTAAAATACACGGTGCTTTAAACACTTATGGTTCAAGAATGTTTTCTCCAAGCATGAATGATTTCCAACTTTTGGTGCTTGCTTGTGCTATGGTTGACAAAGGATGCAGTCGGCATGAAAACCATATTCTGAAATTACTAGCATATAATCCGCCTAAACCTTACTTTGAAATTACTCTAGCAAAATTTGATCGAGTTTTTGGCTGGGTTTAACTTTTGTGAAAATGCCACTTTTCAATATTACTTTGAAACGTATTCTTTTTATGTAGTTAACCGCGAAACTTTTTAAATTTTAACTCACCATGCAAAAATTCACACAACGCCGCACACACTATACCAACAAAAGGGATAAGGGAAAGCGAACTTTGGAGCTTTGTTTGATTGTGTTCTGATTTTTTTGTTTTTAAAATTATTTTGTAAAATAATTATGAAAACAGTTGTTTTCTATATTATTATTTTTTTGAAAGTTAAAAACCAAAACAGAAAACAAAAACAATTCATACATGTTCTCTAAATTTGATTTTAAAAACAAAAAAGTTATAGTTTTCAAAACATTTTTTACAAAACAGATCTTACCAAACGAGTTTTTTAATTTTTTTGTTCTGAAAACTAAAACTTTTTTGCATAACAGTATTCAAACAGTAAACATTAGAAAGATGTGTAGTTATGAAAGAGTAAACATTGTTTCCTTCTTCAATGCTAAAATTGTAAAATATTTCCCACCGAAACCCATAATCCCTTATCTCAATAAAATACAAATCCATATCTATTTAAAAACACAAAACCTTGCACACTTGATTCAAATGTTGCTGAATATAAAAAATTCAAGCAAAAATCCGAACTTTGCCCTGCTAAATTCAAATAACTACTTTTTCTCAACTACACGCTCAAATAAAATTATAAACAGATCCAAACCCAAAGTTCAAATAAGAAATATGGGTCGAGCACTGCATACTCATTATCGATTAACCCCTAAATAACAGCAAAGCAAAGGTGCATGGGTCAATATAATTCAAAAAAAAAATATGCAAGTACACCATCCGACAATAGATCAAAATGTGAGTTCCTATTTAACCGTACAAAATATTTAAAAAGTAGAAAATTTCAATACATCAATGCTTCCATCTAAACACTAATGCTATAAAGAAGTCTGAGACGCGAGAGACGACAAAACCATCAATCCAGAAAATAAAACGAAATAAAATAACAAAAAACACAAAAATATTAACTCTGAGGTGACGCTTTAGCAACAGTACTCTGTTGAACAGCCTGTGCAGGTGCTCCATCATAGCTTCCACGACCATTGCCGCCAGCACTACCATCACTAGTATATCCTGGAGTTTGAGTATAACCAGCACCATAAGAACTGTTGCCGTATGATGGCGGTGCCTGAACATAACCAGGCTGGCCACCAGGAGCACCATATGATTGGGGACCATACCCTGGTTGCACTGCACCACCATAACCAGATGGTGGAGCTCTTTGCGGGCCTGATTCTGGTTGAGTATACCCAGAAGGTGGGGGCTGGGCAGGGGGATACGCTGACTGACCATAGCCTCCAGCTGCGCTAGGTGACTGTGACTGTCCATAAACAGGTGGATTGCTACTTGGCTTCTGAGATTGAGGGGGTCCATAACCTGGTCCATAACCAGACTGTGGTTGATTGCCATAAGCTGCTTGGGAGGTAGGGGGTACCCCATAACCTGGCTGAGTTCCTTGAGGTGGATAGTTTGCAGTGTTTGTGCTGGGCTGTTGGTTGGTAGCATAACCTTGCTGGGCAATGGTAGAGGAGGGTTGAACAGGTGGAGCTTGGGCTGAATCTCCCTGCGATCCATAGTTGGCAGTGTGGCCCTCTTGTGCCGGGTTACTCCCACTACCATAGCTGGGAGCTGAGCCATAGCCTTGCTGCTGGTCATATGTTGGTGGCTGACCATACCCAGATTGTTGCGCATTATATGCACTATAGCCATCCTGAGCATAACCTTGTCCTGGCTGGTTATAACCAGAGGAAGGTTGTTGACTGTAATTGTATGTGGACCCATCAGCTGGAGGTGCAGGACCCCCAGGATTTTGCTGTTGCTGTGGCTGTTGACTATAATAATCATAACCACCAGCATGAGTAGACTGCTGGTGAGGAGCTGCAGTGGACTGGTCCCAGTTCGTGGAATATCCACCCGATTGCTGGGGAGGATAGCCTGGGTATGGTGGCTGAGGCATGTTATACTGGGGTGATGGACCAGAGTACCCTCCAGGCTGCACATATCCATAACCAGATTGTTGCATAGGAGCAACAGGGGGAGCCCAGCTAGACGGTGGTCGAGCTTGGTAACCTTGCTGAGGATAACCTGAGTTTGCTGGATTTCTAAGACGGTTCTGCAGAGAGAAAAATTGCAACCACAAATAAAAAAAGCAAACTCACCCTAGGGGCCACAACATATAAGTATAGAAAGCAACATATGCACACACAAATAGACAAGAAAAACTTACGTTAATGAAAACAACAATATAAAGAACACAAGATAAATGGTATTTGTCTTGCATTAACAGATTCCATACAGCATCAGAAAGCAATATAAATACCTACATACCGTACTGGTTCGTGATAAAACTGAGTTACTCCAGCAGAAGCACACCCTTTCCCTATTCGAAATGAATGGGTACAAAAGGAAGCACAAACCATAGAAGCAGACAAACATTCAATCTTTATTGCCTCAAAAAGGCAATCCACCATATATTATAACAAAATATGTAGGACACAATCATAATAATTCAACAAATTGAGTGTCTGCGCCACAGATATATCACACGCTGTGTATGAGAAAGTTGGAGCAACCATAAATCCAAATATACAGACTGACAAGACTAAGTACATAGAAACTACCCTCTCAAACTTTCCTCAACCCAATCTAGCAGGTCAACCTCCAACGATAGTAAAACCAAATTAAATTAACTAGCACTTTAATTGAAAGTGAAATTAAAAGTGGGGGAAAAATGTTTGCACACACATATTTACCGTGTGCAGCTCAAAGTTCATAAAAGATTACAGTGAAAATGACAAACAAAATAAGAGAATGGCTAGAAAAGTGAAAACCAGTTAAAGAACCCTGATGGTAAAGTAGCAGAAGTGGAGTGGGATGACCTAGCCAGGCAATAATGCCACACATGAAATGTAAAACCCATAAAATACATCATAAACAACAAAGATCATAGAAGCAAATATTAAACAACATAACTTAATTGTTAGTTGAGACAACTACATGATTTAAAATGGACAGAAATGATAGGATAAAAAAACAAGAGGTGCTTCACAGCGGGGAAATTTCAACTTACTATGCCAAATGTAAGTAAATCCAGCATAGCACTCAAGGATAAAATACTATTTCAAGTATAAACGTTCTTTTGAGCAAATGAACCGAAAAGCACAATTGCATATTGAAAAGGATTTAAATACAATAATTTAATATTTGGTCTAATGATGACACTATAGAGTCAATGACATTGATAGGAGACTTACTGCCCTTGATAATAAATATCAAAACTGAGATTTAGAACCATACCAGGGCATGCTGAGGAAACACCAACAAAGGGATTCATGTTGGTGTCACTAATGGTCCAATAGACACTATAACCCTACAATAGTCCCAACAACAAAATCAGTCATAGGATACACAATTAATAAGTATGTTCCATGGTTGAACAGGCTATAATCCCAATGAGTATCCACTTGGGTCAAAAAAATGGCATGATTAGAGAAGCCTTCATGGTCCCACGAACCTTAACCACAAAAAATATGAAGGAGCCACCTCACCAAAGCATAAAGCTTAAGAGAACTTAACCACTGTCTTGGACAACAAAATGAACTATCCAATTCTAAAATAAATATTTCCATCAATATCCTCAATTTATGAATATATAAGAGACAATGACTAAGATGTATTATCTAATGTCAAACCAGACGAGATGTGCAGTTAGCAAGTCAGAATTAGAAATACCCTGGAAGTTCATGACCATCGACATAAGCAGAGACTAATCCATTAGTGCATGTTGCTATGACACCCAGATCCATAATTGACCAAGATACAAAACACATAATGGCCATTATCAATTTAACATATCTTCTACTTTGGCAGATTATATCCATAGCACAGTCTGGAAACAGGTACCAAATATAGATGTATCGTGTATTAAAGACCACTAGCTAGAAACACCAATAAGTCAGGCTATGATAAAACACTATTACCTTACACCCAAACCTACAGTGAAGCTGTTTCAGACCAGATACCAATGTTTACAGAACATAATAAAACACTTCTAAGAATGCCCACGATATGACGCAATATCATTAGTAAGAACGAGGAATTAACAACAAATATGGACAGAATAAAAATCACACATGCTAACTATGGTCAAAACTATGTCATAATTAGCCAAAGTTAAAATTAATTTCTCTTCTGCTCCTGCAAGTGAACTAAAGAAATCACTGAAAAAGAGAGACCTAAAACAAAGTAACATGTTATAGGAATCCATCAGGTCTAGTTTTATGGTTTAATAGCACAACAAATTAACAAAGACCTAACAGGCAACCAAAGGTTCACAGTATCCATCTATCAATCACAGTAAGCAATGACATATATTCAAACATAAAACCACCTATTTTAATCAAACTCAACCATTTTACAAAATAATTAGACTTGTAGTTTTGAACATATATAATATACAAAACCCAGTTGAAAATCCACAATTTTAATGTTAAACTAGATTTGGCACAAGGCAAGCAAAACATGCTAAGCCAAATACCGCGAGAGAGATGCTTCCTTAACATACCTCACCAGTGATGATTTGATTAACCAACTGCTTTGCAGACTCAATTTGCTCGGGTGTTCCATCAACTTTTAATGTTCTTTCTGTTGACATGTCACCTGGGGGAAGATGCAGAGGTATCACCTGAAAGAATATACAACATTTAATGAAAAGCAACAATAAAGGAGAATTCAGAGACTTCAGAGTCAGCTGTAATCAGCCGATTTATAATAGTAGCACTAATCACAGAGCTAAAGTAGAAAAACATAAAATTAAAGCTAACTATGATTTAGCACCAACCCCCAATGAACAATGAAGACAACAACATACTATGTATTCTTAAAATAGAAAACCTGAATTCGTGCTCCAGTGGAAGCTTGCATATTCTTTATTGTTTCACCTCCTTTACCAATTATAAGGCCAACCTGAAGATGCACATAACAAACCACATCAACCCAAACAGGTTAAAGATATACCCAAACAAGAATATAAACTAAACACTTAAAAACATTGTATAAAGCATATGCTTATACATATCTCTTTTGCACACCTTGTTGTTTGGGATTTTCATCGAAAATTCATCAGCCCCAGATTGTCCAGTCAGTCGTCGAGTAACAATGCCAGAACCCCCAGATTCAGCCTGGTAAAAAAACAACTCATGATAGTGATATTTAACTAACAGGCTACAGCAATTGAGCAAAATCTATTGTTATAATTACAACAAAGACAAGATAATTCAATGGAGTCGGAACTGAAATTAATTTACAGAGACAAGAGTAATGGGAAAAAAACTACCTCAGCAAGAACTTCGTTGATGAGTTTCTCAGCAGAGGCAATAGCATCAGGAGTACCCATAAGCTCAACCATCCTATTTAGAGAATTGGGATCAGCATCCATATCACGAGTAACTTGGATTTTAGCCCCAGACTGCAACTGAAGATACTTTATGGTCTCCCCTCCTTTACCAATAATGACACCCACCCTACCATTAGGGATATCTATCTTCTTTGTTGTACCTTGATGACCATGGCCATAAGACACAGGACCAGAAGAAGGAGCTGAATATTGAGCCTTCATATCTGTGTTAACTCACCCAGATCACACTTCAAAACCCTAGCGTACTTTAAAAAAAAGGAGCATCACATAGAAATAAAAAGATTAACTTTAACTTACCAAAGGAATCAAAGCCAGTGAGAGGAGCACCATTGTCGACCTTGGTTCGCTTGACATCAAAGGCAGGGGGAGGAGCACCACTGAGGAGACGAGCAGCGACCTCTTGAGCACGCTGTTTGGCAAGCTCGATGCCGGTGGCGGGTGGAGGAGGGGAGATAGGGGCGGAGAAACCGGTGGGTCTGGGTTGGTCATCGTACTTGCGCTTAAGAGGTGTAGACTCGGTTCCAGATGAATACTGTGCTTCTTCCGCCATCTCAAGAAACCCTAGAGACTCAATTTAGATTCCCAAATACATACAACGCTTTCTTTTTATATTAGTGGCTGGCTGCTACTCGTCCTTCCTTGAGACATGTGATCCCATCAGATGAGATATTTGGAGCTGGGCTTATTAAAAAGATGTTTTTTTATTGCATATTTGTTTTAGGGCCCGTTTGATTGAGTTTTTTTTTTCTTCAAAAGTTATTTTTTAAAAAAATAAATCACTTCTCATTTTTAGTTCGTTTGGATGTCTGATTTAAAAAAAAAAAAAAGTCAAAAACCTACTTTTTTATGAAGCTAAAAATTTTAACTTCTAAGAAAAGCAGAAGTCAAAAGTCAAATATTTTTTCAAAATCTAAATATTTTTATAAAAATATAAATAGCTTTAACTTTTGTAAAAATTATTTTAAAATAAGGAAGTGATAAAAATTACTTTTTCTAAAAGCTTAAACAAACGACCTCTTAGTCTTTTAGATGTGATTTTTATAAAAGTTAAAATTATTTAGATTAAAAAGAAAGTAAGTTTTAAAAATTATTTTATCTTTTGACTTTTACTTTTTTAAAATTTTTAATTTCTAAAAAAATAGATTTTTAATTATTATTTTTTAACAGACATCTAAACAAATTTTTTGATAACAATATTTTTTTTCCCCAAAAAAACACTAAAACAACTCAAGTTATGTCTATTTTTTTTCATATTTCTTTTTATACGATTAGATATAAAAAAATTTATCTCTCCCATCAATATCAAGAAAATAGATAAAACTAAAAATAAATAGAACTTCATTTTTTTAACTCATTAACTTTTTTTGTTGAACTGATCTTTATGTTTGTAGTATAAATAAATAAATATCATATTTTTTCCTTATGTATACATCATTACTTTCACGGTAACTATCTTTTTTTTTTACAAATATCAGAAAAATTATTTAAACACCAGCAATATTTCAAAAAGTCTTAGTTTACATTCTTAAATAAAATTAGTTAAAATACTTATACGGAGAAAAGTTCATCTTATTATTGTTGACAGGAGCTAATGTATTATGTATAGTTTATTATATTTAAATCAGAGATAAAATTTATTATATTTATTTTTTTGTGCTGTTTCAGATGATTTAAAGGGATCCAATTAGAATCAATCAAAAATATTTATAAATGAAATACTCAGGAATAATGATCTATCATTTGAATATAATCTTGATTGTATGTACTGCACAAAAATTGCACACAAAAAATGTGCATGAATAATTTAAATACAATAAAGACAATATTTTATTTTATTTCTCTTCAATTATAAAGTTACATAACATACTAATTATTTAATGATAAACATGTTTTGATTAATTTTAATTAACCTACTGATGAAAATTCTCTAATAATGAGTATGTTATATTTTGACTAATTTCTAATAAGTCTCGGATAATAATTTCTAACATGTTTTGTTTAGACAAACACAATTGACTATAGGTTATAAGTGCCTCAGTAATTCCATGAGCATTTTAAAAAAATATATAGATAATTTCATTGTAATAAAAGGAATTTCTTACAAATTTATATTGTTTTGGATATAAACAAGTTATTTCTTCTATAAAATTGATTTAATAGTGAAAATAACATATAAAATGGGAAAAATATTCTTTCATACAGGATTTTCTATAATTATTATAAAATAATTTTATTTTTTTCCTTTATTATATATTGGTTTAACTCATTTATAATATTATTCGTGCCACTTTCATTCTTTTCTGTATTATTCCATCTTTTGTAAAAATTTAATCAGAATCAATTAAAAATTATTGTAATTTATGATTTGCATATAACCTCAATTCTATTTTTATTTTATTTTTTGTAAATGGAACCTCAATTCTGTTTAAATAGTAGAAAGTGCAGAGAAAAATATATATAAATAATTTGAATACAATAGAGAATTTTCTCTCTTCATTTTTTCTAAGATTATAATGTTAAATAAGATGGATATTTGACCATAGATTTTTAATTAATAGACTATAATTGATTTACACAAGTTTTTCATCCATTAACTGATTACAAGAATACAAGATCGATTATAAATAATTAGTAGATTTATACAAGACTTTCATTAATAATTAATTACCGGTATTATTGTAGATTTATAATTATTGATATAATAATTTGTGATTTTAAGTATGTATTTTTATTAGTATTTGAAATGAATGATCTTGATATTTTATAAAAATTATAATATGGGTTCGTTTTTTCTGCAGTTACTGGAGATAAGTTATATGCAGTAAGCCCAATACGATATCATTTTGGGGCAAAAATCATAGTATTTTGTAATTTTAATTTATTTCAGGGTTATAATAGTCTTTATATTTATAATTTTTTAAGATTTTAATACTAATACGATGTCGTTTTGGAAATAAATGCAGATAACTTATCTGCAGTAACTGCAAAAATATTTTTCCCTTATAATATAAATTTTTTATTATTTTTTGTTAGATAAAAAATAAGAATAAAATGGGTCAATTAGATTGTACCATAATACCTTAAGAGACGTTTGGTATAGGAGAAATTTTTTTTTAATTTGAGAATCATAATTAATGGAAATATGGAGGGAAAGTTTGTTTCCCAGAAATGTTACGAAAAAGTTATTTGGTAGCCAAAATATTATTGAAAATATTGGCTAAATTTCCTGAATGTATATTTAGTTAATGATAATTTTTGCTGAGAATATGAAATAAATTTACGAAAATAACCTCATAACACAGTTGTTTAGAAACACACGGTTAGCAGCAAAAAAAAAAAACACAGTTGCGCAAAGAATGACCGCGACCTCTTCCAGTGCTATATCGATCTTCACCAAAATCATTAACTTGTTATTATCATCATAATTTATCTCTCAAATCCATCATTTTAGAAAAAAACAAAAAAATTCATTAATATTGGGAAATTTTTCATGCACAAAAATTAGGGTTTATTCTCCTCGTTATCAAACGCTGATATCAACATCAGAAATGAGGAAGAACATATGCAGAAAAGCGTTAGTCTAGTGATAATATTGACTCATGCTTGCTGGGCTGCAATCAAATAGCTCCGAAATTAAGAAATTAAGTGCATGAGAGGAAATTTCACCTTTTTGCTCCTTTGCAATTGGTCCCTAGCTAGGTAGTGCACTAATCCCATTTGAATTGGGTCAATATATCAGAATAGCTCACTAGGGTATTTTAGTCTGAGAATTGTGTGTATGCTTTCCCACCGCATGCGAAAAAAAGAATATCATGTCTTGGATGATATTATGAAATAGGAATTGGTAGTGTAAAATCAAATCTTGACAATAAAATTTATCCTATCAAATTTTTAGTTTTCATTGTACCAAACATGATAAAATAATTTTTTCAATCCCACTTTCTCTGTATTCCTAAATAATACCATATACCGAACAGGCCCTAAATGAGTTTACAGCCCAAATAAAATGCTCACTCTTGATAATATTTACATATAATGTACTGATAAAGAGTCTTTAATAGTAAGCATGTTTTTAATTAATTTTGACTTACCTCCAGTAACTTATAAAATGTCTCCCATAGTAAGCATGTTTTGTTTTAAAAATTTAATCAAATAAAATCTAAAATAAATTAATCCAAACAAACCCAACTAACTATTAATAATTTTACAAGCATACAGGTGCCTTAATAATTCTATGAGCATCTCAAAATAAAATTAAAGAATGAGTTATAATAATTTCATCCTAGCAGAATAAATTTTTTTACAAAATAATACTATTTTAGGGGATAAGTTATTCTACCTACTCTTATTTTGTCTATCTCTGTCTACCTCTCTCAATACTGTTAGATTACAATTTCATCAAACGGTGGAGATTTACGATATAAAATAAACTCTTTTACCTCTTTCGCTCTCCCAGTGCATTTCCCTCTCCCACTGCCTCTCACTCTTTCTCTCTCCTCCATTTTCTCTCTCTTCAATGGCACTTCAACATAAAAAAAATACAAGTTTTTTTTCTCAATTCATCTAACCCAGATGTCCTATGTTATGGAACTAGATAGGCATGTTGTCATGCGTAACATAGCGAAAACAAAGACCCTTTCCCCGAGATTTATTTTGGTGCTTCCAACCCACAAAATATTGGGTGGGGCGGAGGAGAGAGAGTGAAAGAGAGATTGAGGAGATAGGAGATAGGAGGGCTCTTTCACCCATTAGGGGTTTTTATTCCTTTAATTTACCAATTTGGTATGGTTCAAGGTATTTACGAAAGGAGGTCATTCAGTGACGCGAGGGAGACCCAGCGTCACTGAGTGCCGCTACCAACCCCCCGCGTCACTCACAACTTTTTTTTTTCTATTGAGTGTCGCCCCCTCCCTGAGGCACTCACAGAATTGTGCCAAGTGGCACAATCTGGTTACTCTTATTACCGTAAAATTTCGGAAAGCAATAACTTTTGACTCGGGTATTCAAATCAGATGATTTTTTTTTTTGATTTCACATAAATTTTCGAGATCTACCCAATGACACCTCATTTGATATATTTTACCTTTCATTAATATATTTCAAATTTGCAACACTAATTACACTTTTTACATATTTGAATTATGTTTGTGAGAAATAAAATATGTTAAATGAGATGTCATTGCGTAGATCTCGAAAAGTTATGTGAAATAAAAAAAAATCATCTGATTTGGATACCCGAGTCAAAAGTTATAACTTTCCGAAGTTTTACGGTAATAGGAGTAACCAGATTGTGCCACTTGGCACAATTCTGTGAGTGCCCCGGGGAGGGGGCGACACTCAATAGGAAAAAGTAAAAAATAAAATAAAAAAGTATGAGTGGCGCGAGGGGTTGGTAGTGGCACTCAGTGACGCTGGGTCCCCTCGCGTTACTAAATGACCCCCTTTCGTAAATACCTTGAACCAAATACTAAATTGATACATTAAAATCACAAAAAATCTCAATTGGTCAAAGAGTCGAGATAGGAGAGATGAGGGAGAAAAGAAAGAAAAAATTTCATGTGTCACTCGCTTAATGGGAGGATCACCATGATTCAGGAACATGTTAAAAATTCCCTATTTCCCCATTTCAAAGTGAAAAACAAGATTAGGAGAAGGAGATAAGTTGATTCGATTTCAAATTTCAACATCAAAATAAAAATATTATGATAATTGTGGATTAATTTAAAGGAAAAAATAGAAATGTTATCATAACCGTGGATTAATTTAAAGGAAAGGATTGATTATTCACGGTTTTCGTTTTTTTTGTGGTTTATGCCATGTTCAATTATATCAGATTCAAGGAATTTTGAAAATTATACTCATCTAGCAGAACTATCATACCATTAATCATTGTATGAATTTAGATTCAAATATAAATTCAGGTTGTAAATTACGCAAATTGATAAAAAAAAAAAAGGAAATGAGTGATAAAGAATGTGGGAGGCAGGAGGAGAAAGAGAGTGAAAAATGATTTATTTTATTCTGTAAATTTTCATAGTTGGATTAGATTGTAATCTAACGGTGTTGAAAAAGATAGACAAAATAAGAATGGGCAGAATAACTTACCTCTTATTTTAGATATACATTTTTTTAAGATTGTTTTAATAGGGAAGACAAACATATAACATGGGACTAAGCACATACCTATCGGTTAACGATAAATAAAAAATCGTTGCAATGCCAATAATCAAGAATAAGCAAGAGGGGAATTGGTCAAACATAAAAACCGCAACTTATTAACAAATAACAAATATTCAACTTCCAAGGGATCTGAAGCCCTGTAAAAAGCTGCACATAGAACATATCCAGAAATGTGATATAGTAAATATATCAACCACAATCCACCTGACATGTGGTGCTTCTTATCAAGGTAAACTACCATGGAATGTGCTTATTATAAAATAGCTTGGCGCCAAGAAATCAACTTAGTGGATCTCATTTAGTCCACCAAAGAAGGAAGTCCTTGCGCCTATTGATCTTCTTCTGCAGCTGGAGGAGTCCATACAGTAAAGCCTCAGCAGTTGGAGGGCAGCCTGGAACATATATGTCAACAGGAACAATCCTGTCACATCCTCGAACAACAGAGTAAGAATAGTGATAATATCCTCCTCCGTTTGCACAACTTCCCATTGAGACGACCCATCTAGGCTCAGGCATTTGGTCATAAACCCTGCAACAATTTCTCAGCATCAAGTAGAAAACTGTAAATTTAAATAACTTAGTTCCGTTCCAAGGCAAAAATTAATACCGGAAAGTTAGAATTTTATGGGGAACGGGAAATAAATAAAAAAAGAGTAAACACCATTTTTAGTCCCTGGCAATATCTACGAAGTCCTTTTCAGTCCCTGGCAATAAAAAAGGATCAAATTGGTCCCTGAAAGTACAAGAAAAGGGTCACTCTACATATTTGGGAGTTGACATAAGGACTAACATGGCCCTTTTTGTAATTTCAGGGACCAATTTGGTCCTTTTTTATTGTCAGGGACTAAAAAAGACTTCGTAGATATTGACAGGGACTAAAAAGAGTGTTTACTCATAAAAAAATGAAATTCAATTACTGCTGTTTCGTAATCATTAACGTTAACTTTATTTCAATCTAGCTAGATGGTCAATAAACCCAAATAAGAGCAAGAAAATATTAAGGTAAAAGAAAAAAAAACATAAATGAATGAATAAATATAGAGAAAAAGAATGGTCATTTGGAACGTAGCAAAATAATTTATCCCTCCATAATGTTAATAATTTTTCTCCATTCCAACCTAAGACAAATCTTAAGTCAATTTATTTCTCACTTCAATAAGCTTTGTTTAACTACTTTCTCCCAAGTGAATTTTGGCCTACCTATATTTTTTTTATGCTCTTGGCAACAAACTTTAATTATTATTGAAGCATCTAGGGATTCTTTGAAGAATATGCCCGACATATTTCCTTCCACCAATATATTCAAACTTTTCGTCAAATATCTCAATTTCTTATTCGTTTCATTCTTCATTCTTATATTATGAGACCACACATACTTAACATTTTTATTCATGCTACCCCTATTTTATGATCATATTGTTTCTCTGCACTGGCCCACGTAAACCTCCATTAACACTGTCAGCGCAAAACTCAGAATGTTCACACCTATCACACCCATTGCGAGACAATCATTATCCATATAAAAACCTCTTTTGGCATGCAGTATAATTCAATTAAAATGACTCCTAGAACCACATTCAAGCACAGAGAGAAGACTCTCTGTTAAGCCACCCACCTATCACTTAGGTATATGATACGAAGAAAGGCAAGGGTAACAGTGAATTAGAAGAACGTGGGAGCAACGAGGGATGTATATAATTGGGAAATCAGTTTGGGAGTGTGTGTGTTGCAACAATCTACACACGTGGCAGGTGGGAAGGTAAGATGCAGTGCAGTCATGCAGGCCCCTCAAAGAGTCCGCAAACTAAAGCGTCTCAGCAGCGGCAGAAGAAGAAGAAGGAACTCAATGAGATTTCTTCAATAAAACAGTGTTTTAATTCCAGTTTCCTACCAGTATCCTAGAGGCAGAATATACTGAACTGGAAGTAACCAATGATTGCTACACCAAAACAGGACTCAATTGAAACAAACGAGGATTATTAGTTTACCATGTCGCATTTCTTCGATATTTATTTTATATGAAAATAATATAAACCATAAAAAAGAACTTCACCAAACACCTCAATATTTTGAAGTTGAAATGATTCTTCAGCTGATATTAGATCACGTGTTCGATTAGAGTCTTACCGTCCTCATTTTCCAGTGAAATTAAAATAAACATAATTTCATGCTTCAAGCTGACTCTTGTTTAGATAGGTTTATTACCGCTCAGTAAAGTTTTCATCAACATCTATATAACAGGCACAGCCTCCAAAATATCACACGAAGGCTGACAGCGAATCAATTAGAATATTATTTAATCTTTGGGTTCGCTTATGAGGAAGGAAGACGAGAAATGAACCATGAAGAAAGAATTAAAAGATGGACATTAGATTCTTCCGAGGAAGGCTCGATTTTTTTCATTTCGAATATGGGAAAGGAATATGTCGTGAAATAATATACACATAACAGAATCAAATATAATAATAATAGGGATCTCGGATAAGCATATAAAAACAATAGAAAAAGGAGAAATAGGACAAAAGAATGGGGGAGAGAGAGAGAGAATAAGATAGAAAAGTACTTGCGAAGAGCAGGGGCCATCTTGTTGGTGAGAGTGCCGGCAACAATCATGCAATCAGATTGGCGAGGGCTGGGCCTGAAAATGATTCCGAAGCGATCGAGATCGTAACGAGCGCCACCGGTGTGCATCATTTCCACAGCGCAGCAGGCAAGCCCAAACGTCATGGGCCATATGGAACCACACCGAGCCCAATTCATGAGATCATCCACCTTCGATATCACGTACTCCGCCGTCTTCGAAATGCCGACCGGAGAGGAGGCCGATGGGGGCGGTGGTGGAGCATATGGTGTTGGTGTTTGTGTTGGTGTCGACAGAGAAGGGAGGGTTGTGTGGAGGGCAACTACCCGTTGAGGCGACACCAATTGACGGAAGCGTGAAGCTGTTCGACTCACAAGAGCCATGGTGGTGAGAGCCACGGAAATGCAACGAACCTTCTAGTTACGCCTTTCTCTCTCCCTCTCTTCAATATTTATTGCAAACCCAACTCTCTTTTTCTTCTTTTTCCTACATATATAAATCACAAGAAATAGCAAGAGATTTAAAAAGATTAATTATTTAAAGTAAAATTTTAAATAATAAATCAAACCGGAAAAATTAGTATATTTTATGAAATAAAGTTTAAAATGGTGTAATTTAAGAAATAACTAAAAAGGTCATATTTGGTTCTTTCTTAATACATAATATAGGACTTCATGCAATTTACTTATATGTCAAAATTTAATATTTTGATTCTAAGATTACTTGTGAATGATAAGATTATACTTAAAGTTTTGTTTTGTTTTTTTTTTTCAAATGAAAAAGTAAAGATTTTTTTTTGGAACGCTTTATTCATTTTCATACGCATCATGAAAACAAACCACATTAAATGATGGCCAAGTAGTGGAGGAAAATTAAGATACTTGGCTGTATTCAATGTCACATGTTGATTCTAACTTTGCCTAACTAAGCTGTTGGTCTTGATTATCATCTTCTAATTAAAAGATTAGGGACTTTCTTCTTTTATCTTATCTTTATAAATAGCCTTGTTAGTGTCAATTAATCAGAATAGTTAATAGGCCAAATTTTATTTTATTTTTCATCGGTTCATCAATTAATTCGATCGAGTCGCATAAAAATATATTAGAACAAAACTTTTCCAATTAAGTTTTTAACCCAACAGCGAGCACATAGGTCTATTCGTTTAATTTAAACAAAGTATTTTTTCTTTTCACCAAAAAAAAAAATAGCAAAGGAATCAGCTATGTTTGCAAAATTGCAACCCCAAGACAAGACTCAATTGAAACAAACGAAACACGTAAACGTTGGCTTGATTGAATACATATACTATGGAGTCTTTAAGCCAATAACATCCTGCTTCTCTTCTATTCTTTTTATTTGTTTATTTCTGTGAGTATACATGAAATTAGGGCCCTGTTTGAACTTTTTGACGAGGATGACAGTTGCACTAGAGTCTGTATTTAAAAATTGTATCACTCCAACGATTGAGTATTTAAAGCAAGTGAATGTAAGTGGGATCATTTACTGTGGGTATTTTGTTTTTTCCTTCTTTGGCACTCGCCTTTGTTGTCTTTAAATATTGTCTGTATGTCAATGTCCGATTCAATGGGACCTAAGGGCTAAGACGATAGCTCTTGTTTTCCTTGCGCAAAAACACAAACAACGAGAGAAAAAAATACAATTCATTGTGTTTGGGCTTATGAATGTCTAGTTTGAAAATTTGTTTAATTTTTTATTTTATTTTTTAGTTGATATGCTTTTATTAATAACTATAAAAAATATGTTACTTTTATTTTAGATTGAATGAAAAATGAAAACAATAAAATCATATTTTTAACTAAATTATAAAATTATAAACAAAATGAAAATATATTATTTTTATAATTATTAATAAAAAAATAAGAAAAAATTTAGATTAAGAAAAAATATGACCCATGCAATGCCGGAGAAAACTACGAACCAGGGGATAGGGTGGGTCGTCGCCGCCCTCCTAAAATTTGAAGAAAAAAAAATTAAAGGCAAGTCACATAATGTGAGAACCAGATGGAACTGAAAGCATTGAAGGAAAACAAGGAATGGCTGATGGTCTAGCATAGAGAATACGGAGAGTTTCTATCCTGCTAGAAAAGATCGAAGAAAACGCGGGGGCGGGGCGTTTGGTATAGGTTTTCCAAATAGATACCCATGCAAGTTGAAGTGGTATTTCAATGAGACCCCGTTTGGTACAAGAGTTTAACAATTTTCACAGGCAAAATGGTTTGCTCAGGCATGCTGAATCGTGTGCAAATGTTAAAGTAAATCACTGTTGTAAATAACCATTAGGAGGGTGGTATTTTGCTATTAGCTGGGAAACAAAAATTTGGGCGCGGGTATGGAGACAAAAATATCCCTGTTGTACTATTGAAATTGGAGTCTCTCTCCTCCGTTGTAGCGTACGTGTGGACAATAATAGAATTTGTTTCTTTCTTCTTTGTTGCTCCATGTCAATGGCTAGAGGCCATGCTTATTCTCCCCTCAACTTGTGCACTCGCAAGAGAACCCTTTCAAGATTCAAACTTCTTCAACCTCCCAATTTCACAACACTTTTCATGACCCATTTCGCCCCTTCTCGACCCGTTTCATGAACTCGGGTTTTCACCCGAACTTCTCCAAAAGTCGGAGTCTTTCCGGCGTCAGAATCCACCCCATGAGGCTGATTTCCACCTCCGGCGACGAGAAGCCAAAGTGTGAATTTGACGCTGATTTCGGTCAGAATATTGGTTTTGAACTTGGAAATGAGGTTAGTGATGATGTTTATGCTTTATCTGAAAATGGGATTGTTGCAAATGATCAAGGTAGTAATGAGTGCAATTCAAAGATTGTTGATTATGTAGAATGTAGTAATAGTAGTAGGAGGCGAAGAAGGGGATTTATCGTAGTCCGCTTAGATTGTTGGCTATGGAAATTTTTGACAAGGTTAATGCGAAAGGTGTTTATTGCAGTCTACTAACTGGGCAAGAAAAAAAGCGTGTGTAAAAATCAGGAACATTAACGTGTGCAAAAGTCAGGAACATTAACGTTGGTTGAACAGAACAACCCGATTGTTGTTGATGTTTTAATCAACGGTTACATTCTTTTAAATATTGAAAAATAAAAAAAATTCATTTTTCGTAATTTATACTCATTATCCCATCAATACTTTACTTCAACAAAACATAGACTTTCAAAACTTCAATTAATTTACCCAGTAATATTTCGGTATACCGAACAACTTTTTTTAAACATTTCCCATCAAACTTTATTTCATAAATATTACCAGTCATTATGCTTACTCGGTGAAACAATATTACTCCTCTACAAAACAAGGAATGGCTGATGGTTTAGCATAGAGAATACAGGGAGTTTCTATCCCGCTAGCAAAGATCGAAAAACACTGGGTGGAAAAAGAAATGATATTGCATACCCATATTAGTTAGAAATTGTAGTTTACAATTTTGATGGGTAGTAAAAATCTTACTTGCACCATTATTTTTCTTCTTTTTTTCTCCTATTTTATATATCTTAATACTACTAGTCGACATGGGTAATAAAAGTCTTATTTGCACCATTATTTTTCTTTCTTTTTTCTCCTATTGTATTTATATAAATTTATGTAATAAATATAATAGTATATTAGTATAAGCCATAAGGGGTTTGGTAGTGTTAGAGAATAATATAAATCATTAAAAATGTCCTCATTCAACACCTCGGGTTGAAGTGGTTCTTTACATGGTATCAGAGCTTTAATGACTATAAGGTCACGAGTTTGATCCTCATTGTCCCCCACTTTCGAGTGGAATTAAAATAATTACAACGTAAACCAAAAAAATTGGGTCTGTGCAATATCCACATTTAATATAAATCATTAGAAAGGCTCCTCACCCAACACCTTAAGATTTTTTGAATTGATCTGGTTCTTTACATATAGTTTATGGGAAATCAATTGGTCATGTTGCAGGACCAATTGATAATTTCATGCAGACTCATTAAAAATGGGCTCCACATGATTTTCTTTTTCTTCTTTTTTAATTTAAGTGGGATCCATGTATTTTTTCTCACCCGCATAACACAACACTCTTCCAACGACATGACGGACAATTTCCCCATAGTTTATATTAGGTTATGTGTTGAAATATCTAAAAAATATATCAAGTCATATAATTAATTTATAAGAATGTAAGACTGTAAATGATTTACATAAAATTTAAAAAATCGGTACCAATTGTATCATGGTTTATAAATAACTATCTGATTCAGTAGTTATGGAAAACCCTAGCGCAGTAACTTCGCCGTCGAAGCTTTCTCCGGAGGAAACTGACAATTTGCAAAGGAGCAAGAAAAAATACAAGGGGGAGAGTCTTCTTTCAGCCATGACCAAAGTATGGCACCACGGGAGGAAGAACGGATGAAGGAGAGGATGTCTTTCAAGGAAATGCTTATGAGGCATAATGGTGAATGGGAGATGCATGAGGCGGAGGAGGAGTTTCAATCGGAGAAGGAGGATGAAAAAATCGAGGATGCAGATGCTGAATCAAAGGAAGAATCAAAGAATCCAGAGGTCGTTCGTGTAAAAGATGGAGACGGTAAAACTAATTTCAAGCTGTCTGATGGTTTCAAGAAGCGTGCATGGATGCCTTGGAGGAAGGCATTGTATGTGAAGCTGCTAGGGAAGAAACTGCCTCTCCCTATTATGAAGAAGAGACTGGAGAACACGTGGGCAAGGGAAGGCCAAATTTTTGTCACATATGTGGAAAACGGCTTCTTTTTGGTAAGATTTTCTGGAAAAAAAGGACATGGACTATGTTGTTACTGCTGGACCTTGGGTTTTGTTTGATCACTATTTAGCTATTAGATAGTGGGAGCTTGATTTTCAATGACATTTTGCTGCTATTGATCGTATTTTGGCTTGGGTCCGTCTTCCTAGCTTTCCAGTAGAATATGTTAACACGAAGTTATTAGAAGAAGTAGGAAATTGGTTAGGCAAGTTTGTTAAGATGGATGCTGTCACAACCTGTTTGGCTAGGGGTAAATTTGTAAGAATCTGTGTTGAATTAAATTTGGGGGAACCACTGCATGCAGAGTACAAGATAGAAGGAAAATTAAAAAAAGTTGAGTATTATGGGTTGCATTTTGTTTGCTGCTATAGCTGTGGGAAATATGGTCACAGATCTGCGAATTGTTCATCGAAAGCCATTCAAGTATTATCTGCAACAAGTGGTACTAATATGCTGGAGAATAATATGGGGGAGGATAAACAAGAAAATAGGGACCTGGGAAATACAGCAAACAAAGAGGAAGGAAACTATGGTCCCTGGATGCTTGTTAACAAACAGAGGAGACACAATAAGAATGGCATAAATCAGGGGGGAAAGAAGGACCTTTTGCTATTAGTGCTGGTAATTTTAAAAGTTCTAGATTCAATGCTTTGTATAATGCAGAAGGAAATGAGGAAAGGAAAATTGTAGATGAGAAGGAAA